AGACGTCAAGTCTTTCTTTGTGAGGCTGAGAACCCATCAATGAACCATCGTAGTTTGTGAACATGATAAAGAATCCCTCAGCATTTGCAAAGTTATCAACGAACAAGTACTATGCTTAATTTGACATTTATCTTTTACCAAGTCGATCAGTTGTGGCTGCGTCTCTTCGTGAGAAACCTAGAGTAATGTCCCTTGTCTTTGCCAGTCCATTTTGACATTTGCTCTGAAATAATAGCATCCCTTATTGTTTCCCAGATCTTGACTCTGATCTTCATACATCCGTTTACTTAACTGATTACATTGTTACTCATATCTCCGGGTTTAAGAAGTATCAAATGTTGTGTTCAAGATTTCAGCACTGGTGTCTCTAAAATGTGTTCACATAATTCCGATCCGATCTTAAAGATGGCTGTGACGACCGGCGTTGGTTTCTGTAAAACAGTTTTACGGAAATACAAGCAAATGTTCGGAATGACCCTTTAAATCTATGCATCCAGGCTCTCTCTTACTGCACGTGGGTGTTCTACCATGGACTCAGTGGTGGAATAGCCAGCAAGCCAGTCTTGCTTCTTGTTTGTTTGTTTGTTTGTTTGTTTGTTTGTATGTTGTTTACCACTGCACTCAGCAATATTCCAGCTAAATGATCAAGTCTTGACCAGAAAATCCAGTGATTGACATCATTCGCATCGATCCACGCAATTTGGGTTACGATGACATGCATCAACCGAGCGTCCGGAATACCACTTGACAGGGTTCTGCGTCCGCAATACCACTAAACAGAGCTCGGCATCCGCTAAACCAGTAAACAGGGCTCGGCATCCTGAATACCACTTGACAGGGCTCATATTGCTAAAAGCGGCGTAAAACCATACTCACTCACTCACTCCCTGAAGCGCGATGCTTTCGGGCAAAACCAGACGAATTATCAGATTGATAACAAAGACCATTGCGATTGTATTGACAGCTTACAGAATATCAATATAACAATGTTGCAGGAGTTATCTCGCTTACTCCAGGAACAGGCAGGTTCAAACACAAATAACAAAAGTATACTTATTTTTTCACTATATTCGAGTTTACTAAATACCAAAATAGTTTATTATAAAGCAAAAAACAGGGATCATTGTACGGTTCATAAGCATGTGTTCATAAATGAATCTCTAACAAACAGTGATGACACCAGGTGTGACGTCACAAGTAGAACACCATTAACACATCAATGACATGTAAGTTGAGTAAAATATAACGTCACTTTAAAAATCATTCCAGTCATATCGCCGTGCAGGACATGAAGAATGGGCTTCATACATCGCATCCATTTTGGGAATCGATCAACGCCTTAAAATCACAACGCGACACACCGCCCCAATGGTTGATACTAATATTCATATAAACAAATGTCAAATCAGGTTTGAACCGTTGTATATTTCAGACAGGTGTTTGCCAGCATTGTCACGTGGTGTCATGGTTACAAGTTAAACCAATCGGGGCTCACTTCCGTTGCACGAGTTTTTCATGCGCGTTAATTCCAATCTCCATTAAAGGAAGCAGACGTGACAGGTCACTTTATCTGCTTCAAGACGATGAGAATTCCATAAAACCGAGCCAGACATGAAATCAGACACTTTTTGTTGATGTTTCTACATTTTACGCGTCACTATGAACGTTCTATTGGAAACATTTTGGCTTGTGATGTGCGGTATGAAGAAATGCCACGCCTGTTCGAAAATCGACACATCGACAAGGTAAGTGCACGAATAAATGACAAAACAATATGATTGTGGCCATATAATGTATGGCCTATTCACAAATTCGTGAATAGTTGGGGGTTATACTGAGTGAGGGAATTGGGGTTTAATGCCGCTTTTGACAGTATGCTAGTGCTGATTCAACCTAGGAAATCAATAGTGTCAACCAGTGTCTGGTGTGCTATATCTAAGTATGGCTGGACTTAAGCTGAACACGACGTGAAACGATACTCACGTGCTTTTAGATAGCGAATTGCTTCGTTCGAGCTTTAATTCGAAATAATATTATGTAGTTTGGAACTATAAAGGTTGTTTATCCGGGTCAGAATAGATCTTAAGCAACCCATGCTTGCCGTAAAAAGCGACTACGCTTGTCGTAAGAGGCGACTAATGTGATCGGGAGGTCAGGCTCGTTGACTTGGTCGATGCATGTCATCGTATCCCAAATGCGTAGATTGATGCTCATGATGTCAGTCACTGGACTGTCTGGTCCAGACTCAATTATCTACAGACAGCTGTCATATAGCCAAACCATGCGGCGTTAAACAACAAACTAGGAAAACAAACATGACATGATGACTGCTTTGCATGGAGAACATCGTCAGTGAAATGGCAACGAAACAGTGACTTGGAAACATGGTATGGGGCGGCCAGGGATATAAGGAGGTTTTCCACAAAAAAAAGAGGAATTTCGTGCAGTTATGACAACATTCAAGCCATCTCAGTGTTCAATAATTAAAATTTCGAAGTTAAATCAGTACTTTAAAAAAATCAGGCATAGCTTCCGCGCACCCGGTTTCCGCCGGGTCTTGGAGCAATACTACCATAAACTGCACCCCCCGACCCCCAGACAGAAAGACAACTGTCACAAGCGTGCAATGTCTGAGCCTTCCCCATGTTGAAGAATATTTTTTTTAAACTTACCTTGTACTTTCCTTTTGGTGAAAAAAAAACAAAACAATATTGCAAACATGACATGAATACAACATATCAATATATTAAAGACAACTTTATCTTAAAAAAACAAGCCATCATCTGAGTATTTACAATTTCTGTGTGACGCCACACCCCTCGTTTTAGTGCAAGTATTCTTGATAGAAAACCTATGATGTCCGAAAACCTAAAATCCGACGAATTTTCGGAGTATTTTGTTTGTAAATCTTCGATTATAATTTAACGCGAAAGATGATTTTTTTCCGAGGAATACTGTTTTAAAAAACGCGATTTTCCGCGTTTCCGCGCAGATTTCACATCACGTGGTTACCAACTGATGGCATAAATTCAGTTTCAGAATGTTGTTTAGTTTCGAGCTTAGAATTTTAGAAAAATCAGTATTTCCGACGTAACGGAGTTGAAGTGTTTGGTAATAGATGCTTACTGTGAAGAGAAAGTTATTTATTGTTTAAGAAGATGCGCTGCTAATGGAAGAAAGCGAAAGAAGAAAATGTGAATTAAACAATAATGCTTAAAATATATTTTTCATTCTAATATAATTTCGCGAAGTAATATAGACGTCATGATGTGTTTACCCTGAAATAAACCCCTTGCCATTAATCAACACGTATCATTACATGTATAATCCAATGTCGAGAAGTGGGGTGGGGGTTCGTTCGTCCCCTTCTCAATGAAGACATGTTTTCTAAAAACTTATTTAACTTAGAGAAATGAAATTTTACACATTGATGTAATTTGTTCACGATCTTGAATGAGTTCGAAAATTGGTGTCTTAAATTATTTGTTACAGAGTGAAGACCCTTGCTCATCGGTTTTCAACTTAATTAGTGCATACTGCGTGAAATGGTTTTCTCAGAAACAACTGAACTTACCTGAATGAATGTTTTCATGCATATCTAAGTGATACTTACTACAAGATCCACGATCCTTGATCCATGTTGTTCTACCTAGTGCAGTGTCTGCAATGGGGACAAGTTTTCTCAGAAACTGCTGAACTTACATGGATGAAACTATGCAAGTTTATCTCAGAGAATCTATACCAATCAAGGCTGAGTTCAAAAATTGGTGCCATAAATTACTTATTTCAGAGAATGGGGCCTTTTTGTGTGTAGGGCCTTTTGTGTGTATTAATTTCATATTTAATAGGAGTTCCTCATGGCATAAAGCCGCCCTAGTGCCCATCTCTTAAGGCTTGAAATGGACTCTTCTTTTTTCATAGTGAACTTTAAACATGGGCACGGGTGGCCCAGCCGTCAAGGCTCAATTCGCTGTGCAGTGTTGGGTCCCTTGAACACACCAGAAACCTATGATGGTTTCTGGGTTTGTCAGCACCATATCCATGCTGGTGGGGTTCACCAAAGTGGTAAGCATCTAAGACCTACATCACTTTGAGCTTTCCTCCCACATTAAGCTGACATGGCGTGATAAAACTGGAGTATTGTTCAAAGCTGTGGGGATAGTGATAACTCGTGTGATAGCTCCCTTGTTGCTTAACGCCAATTAGCACGCCGCACTCTGCAATATTACAGCCTGTTTGTTTGTTGTTTAACGCCGCGCTCTGCAATATTACAGCCTGTTTGTTTGTTGTTAAACGCCGCGCTCTGCAATATTACAGCCTGTTTGTTTGTTGTTTAACGCCGCACTCTGCAATATTACAGCCTGTTTGTTTGTTGTTTAAGCCGCACTCTGCAATATTACAGCCTGTTTGTTTGTTGTTAAATGCCACACTCTGCAATGTTACAGCCTGTGTGTTTGTTGTTTAACGCCGCACTCAGCAATATTACAGCCTGTTTGTTTGTTGTTTAACGCCGCACTCAGCAATATTACAGCCTGTTTGTTTGTTGTTTAACGCCGCAATCTGCAATATTACAGCCTGTGTGTTTGTTGTTTAACACTGCACTCTGCAATATTACAGCCTGTTTGTTTGTTGTTTAATGCTGCACTCTGCAATATTACAGCTATATGACAGCGGTCTGTAAATAATTGAGTCTTGATCAGACAATCCAGTGATTGACATCATGAGCATCGATCCATGCATTTGGGATACAATGACAAGCATTAACTAAGACAGTAAGCCTGACCACCCGATCCCGTTAGTCGCTTCTTACGACAAGCATTGGTTTGCTGAAGACCTATTGTAACCCGGATCTTCACGGGTAGAATGATATCATGAGCAACGTCCCAGGTCATTGGTAAAAGGACGATGCTTTGTTTCATGTCAACACTGCATTGTTAAATAGCTCATTTTCACCAGGAAAAGTCTTAGACACAGGCATTCAGAAACCATGAACAAACAACTTGATACTGACATTTTATTTGATATCAAACACATTCCATGATTGAGACAGATCTAACGTAAATAGACATACCAATTAATATATCACAGCTGTGCTTGGTAAATACAGGCAATATAGGTACAGGGATACACAGTAAGTAACTGACCATTCCATGCATGAAACAAGGCAAGAGTGTCACCACGCCAGTGTATTGATGGGGACTAGCGAGGCAATGTAGGTTTTGGGATACACAGTAAGTAACTGACCATTCCAAGCACCTGCAACTCAGGGCCCAGGGATGAAACAAGGCAAGAGTGTCACCACGCCAGTGTATTGATGGGGACTAGCGAGGTTTTGCAAATGATTTCTGAATGGATACCTTCATGATCAGGATTAGAAAAAAACTTTATATTTTCACTTGTCCACAAAAACGATCTTCTGCTGGGTAGCCATCTGTCTGAAGGTAAGCCTGGCGGCCCACAACGATTAAAACATGAAACTATTCATGGGCTGTTTAACAAAGTATTCTGCTACCCCTTATTTATATTTCTTTAAACTAAATTTTCATAACACAGGGCAGAGAATCTGAACATTCTGAAATTTTTATGTGTATAATAAAGGTGACAGTATCTGTTTTCACTCATTTATTGATTTCACTTTCAAATCTGTCCATACCAAAACACCTAAACTTGCTAAGTACCATGTTAAACATGTCCTGGGTCAGTTCAGTGATAACCAAATGTCAAGGTATCCCACACCACAATGCAATCGGTGCAATCTCACATCATGTGTTATGTGACAACAATGGAAATGCCTAACCAATGTCACACTGCCACATTAAAAATGATTATAATCAAATTAAACTTGCCATTTTCATGAAATTAAGCACTTTAAACACAGAAGAGCACTTTAGGAGGGTAGTTTACACAATGACCAACATCAATATTTCAAAGTGCATTTGTAAGAACAACCTTTGCTACTTAGTATTGGGAGTGTATATAAAAATATATAAGGATTCCACATATATGTAAACATTGACTTCATCTCACGCTAATCTGTACAATATAATGACAATAGTACTATATACAAATAAATTATATATTTATATTAATATCATAAACATGTTGAGGAGTTCCTCCCAGTTTGATACTTGTACCATCCACGATGGTCTGACTAGATGCCTCCATCCCGCCTCCTCCTCACCGCTCCAGGTCACTCGGGGACATGCACGTCTCCACCTCCCGGCGTTTCTGCATCAGGCTCTGAAACACCAATTTCTGTGCATACAGACACTGGTACAGAAATTATGCTCATCCCTTCCTTATTTTCAAACATCCCAAACTTTAATGTATTTTGGGGGAAATATCCACATATAATCTGACATTCAAAATGTCAAATATACAACAATGTCTACTCTGGGATGAAGTGGGCGCCTATTGTGGCATAAAACATAACTCATTCACTAGATAAATTCCTGAAAAAGAACACAATGTTCCTCCAGTAATTAAGCGAGGATGGAAGGTTTAGTGCTGCTTGGAAACAGAATTCCGGTCATATCAATGTGTGTCAGCTTAATGTGGTACTCAGACGTTTATTATAATGAAACCTACGAGCTTGTGCTGCCAAACCTAGAAACATAATTAGGGTGAAGTGGGATTCAAACCCACCATCATAGGTTTCTGGCGTGCAAAAGGGAGGCAACTCTGAACAGCGAAGCACAGATGAAACAATTCAAATGCTAGTTATATGTCCTGTAAATAACTGAATCTGGGTCAGACAAACCAGAGGATGATAGCATGAGTAATGCCCCACATGATCACAGCACAGTGAGGCACAATCGACCAAGTTACAGAGTCTGATGACACAACCCCCCTGTTTTAGTGGGACAACCTTGAGGTTCTGGGGACCAACTTCTCCCCGATTAAAGAGTGAGACTGACCTTCTTGAGAGTGGACAGTTGTTGCAGGATCATGTCCTGCCTGGCTGTTGGGTGACCTTTGACCAGGTCGGGGTTCAGGATGGGATCCTGGGAGGAAGGAATCACATGTTATTGAACAGCAAAGATTAGACGTTAGAGCTCAGGGCCCTGTTCCTCAAAGCGATCTTAGCTCTACGGTGATCGTAAGCCTATGTTAAAATATGGGACTTACGATCACCTTAGCGCTAAGGTCGCTTTGAGGAACGGGACCCTGATCATCACTTGAATATGAACCACTCAATGATTAAGCTGTAAATATAGTCTTCTTGCTTTTCTAACAATGTTTAATGTGTTGTTTAATGTGAGGGTAGCCATTAAATAATTGAGCCTGGAGCAGACATTCCAGTAACCGACATCATCAGCATTGATCTATGCAACTGGGACAGGATGACATGCATTGACTAAGTCAGCAATCCTGACCACTGATCCCTTTCTTCAATAGTTAGTTCCTTTCTGCCAAAACATAAAAACAAAAATCCTTTCACTTTGGTGAAGGTATTCTACTAAAAAATAACAGTAACCATAAACATGATAAACAATTGTATCCTAATCACAAACCTGTACCAGTCTCTATACTTACATTCTTGTCGGTCCTGTCGTGGAGATTCTCCAGCCGGTTGCCATAGCTACCTGGATTGTGGTTTTCCACGTACGCCTTCCGGCCCTTCTTTACCTTTGTGTTCTCCCGCGACAAGTGTATGGGCTCAACAGCTTTGGCCGGGTCAAGGATCTCAGTTGTCCGAGTGAAGGGTACGAAATCTCCCCCATCCACTGGTGCCTCGATAGGGTTTCGGTCATGATAGTGGCCCTGTTTGGACTTCCTGTCACTGGCCGGAGGGTTGTAGTTGGAGTAACTATGCTGGTCATTGTCATAACTGTTATCATAACCGTTGTCCAGACGGAGAACCTGGGCACCCCTCCCAACATCGCGCTTGTGTCTGAGGGCAGGGACAGGCGGGGAGAGTCCTGACACTTCATTAGTCCTGAGGGTGGGGATGGGGGGTGAGGGTGAGCGTCTCCCCACAGGAGACTGTCCCCCTCTCATCCTCTCCCGACTCCTGTTGGGGGAAAGACTATTATTATCCCGTCGTCTCACATTTTGTCTATCGGGCGAAACAGACCTATAATTTGCTTCATAAACATTCCTAGGAGAATATCCGTCTTTATGTGGCGAAGGACCACGCGATCTGTTACTGCCGACGTGGTCTGGAATAATGGGTTTGTTGAGTTCAACAAGGGCAAGTAACTCCTTTCCCCTCTTCGCCCTCCTCTCCTCACTCCTCTGTCGCTTTCTTTCGTAGAAAGGATCTCGCTCAGACTGCTTGACATTCCTACGAAGCTTAGGGTTTTGGTAGTTCCATTTGGATTTCCCTCCTTGACGGCCGTTTGCAACTCTTTCCTTCTGCCTCCCACGTTTCAGTTCTGCTTTCACTTCCTTTTCAGCACTGACCACTCGCACTTTCTTTGTCCTTTCTGCTCGTCGCTCTATCATCATCTCCTCCTTAAACTCAATGCCTACTTCACTGATTTCACGCCTCCTCTCACCAATCTTCTCGTTCCTATCCTCCCCTGAAATAATGACGAGTGTATAAGATTACTTTAATACATGTTCGCTACATCTTATGAACAAAATCCATCTTAATAATGTTTACTATAGCACTGGTGAATTGAAAACAAATTCAGAATTTGTCATAAACACAAGCAGGATTGTCAGATCAAAACATTTTTTGTTATTTTAGACATACAATATGACCCGAGATTACATGGTCTTAAACAAGTTAAAATCAATGCAAATGAAAATTAAGTAGTTCTTTGATTTAGCACAGGATCATATGTAATTTACAAAAATTCATACAAACAATATTAGTCGTACTGCAGTGCATATTGAAGTCAAAGTTTACAAAGCGAAAGTTATAATACTACGGGTCCTCACAGATCCCACGCAGCAATGGTATTAGATGGTTTCACGGCATTTCCTTGTGATAACAATGGTTAATGAAGTGGAGGTTAGACAACAATGGCAACACTTTTTCATATTTTTTGGTTTACAGCTTCATCGGACTAGAGCCAAAACAATATTAAATAAATAAAAACAGTGCAAATTTATTTACATGGCTCAGAAAAATAAAAACATTCAAATCCCCCAAACCTACAAATGTAACTGTTAACATGCTGAATAACTGACCAAATGCACTGCATGTATTCTGGCCACTGGAAGCAAATCATAAAGAGAATAAATCTTTCCCTGACTCGAGTTGTTTTAGACATTGACAGTGGTCCTGGGGTCCTAGGATTACATACACAGTATCAGGACCACCATACGCATGAACTTTCAAACCTCCCACCTACACTAAATTTCAAACATGTTTACAGTTTGCAGTAACCACTGACAATGATTGAAGGCAATATTGGCCGGTACATCTCCTTGTATGCAATTAAGTGTGTGTGTGTGGGGGGGGGGGGGGGGGGGGGGGGGGGATGGGGGCATGGGATCCTTAGCTCTTCTCCTGTAGAACATCAATCTCAATCTTAGGACAAGAGCATCTGACTTTCATGCGTAACTTCAAACACTTCAAATATAAATGGTACACGACATGTGCACATCACTGGAAAACTATCAAATTGTGTGCACTTCGCAGTTTCGCATATATTTTCCCCACTAAACCAACTGTCACAAAGACCCTCTGCCAAATTTAAAAAGAAAATAAGCAACACAAATTTATGCTTTAAACCAATCCAAGCTCATGTAAACCATGAAACACAAAAGTGTGGCCTATGCATCACTTCACTCAAGAGTATATACAATATGGAGAGACTAGAACGTGAGTATGGTATATGTCACTCATTGTACTTGTACATGAATATACTATGGGTATAGCAGTATAGCTACGTCTAGCTACGTCTAGAGATACATGTCACTACACCATACATACCTGGCCTAGGTGACAAAACTAGGATCTCTCTTCAAATAAACCTACCACATGTTCTATACGTACAGTAAGACAGATCTATAGGTACAACTGGCAGCAGTTATTGCACTAGGGAACATGAGGGTATTCACCTACACAGCAGGAGAGTGAGAGAGTCTGGTTTAACAGCATTTCAGTTGTATCAGCATTATAGGAGGAAAGCTTGAAGTGATGAGGGTCTTAGACGTTTACCACTTAGGTGAAACCCATGATCACAGTTATTGAGCCAACTGGAAAAAAATCTTGATCAGAGTGATTCGGACCCACGACCATAGAATTAATTCTTATTGCGCCTTAGACAACTGGGCCCCTCGTGCCTCCTCACAGACTATACAAGAACGGTGTGGGTATGTTGTGGTAAACTGTAGAAGATGGCCTAAATACATTAGTAACTTGAAACAGTGCTGGATGTAATGGTGGAGGTTGTTAATGCACTAGGCTGCTATGGTTAGGAGGGTAATTGTCGATTCCCAGTCTCGCAACACTTTATCATGGTTTCTCTGCTCCTGGACAATACGTCTTCCAACAACAAGTTTCAAACAAAGGAAGCATAAAGCACTGTACAAAGAACCTTATCCATGGGAGATCAACCGTCCAGACCAGAAACTGAGGATGCATGCCCAGACTGGAGGAATCCGACATAGCAACTGTGGTATATGGTCTCAGTTTGCAATGGCAGATAAAAACAGATATATGCTCATGTGGCAAAATCAGGAAATCAATTCCTGTCTACTTCAGTGATTATTTTCTCTCAATATTTTCTTTAACCCAGAGAAATTTATTATTCATTTTATAGATGCACTTACCATAAAATATGAACACAGTATATCTTTCTTAAAGCTGTTTTAATTGCCTGACATGGGAGTGTTCAAAACCAACCCTGACAACAGTCTTTTGCCTCTAGTTTCTTGGCATATAGACCAAAACATGTAACACAAACAACCAAATTGGTCTGATCTCAACCATTTTTGACTTCATAATTGCGAAACAAAATGACCAAAAAGCTTGCCACTCAAGATTATAACTGTTTCATGCCTACATAGGGTATCTGCTTTTGGAACATCCTTCTTCACCTATTTGTCGACACTCATCAACACTATCATTCCTTCTGTCATGGACACGTAATCCAACTCGGTAGCCTACATCTTTGCCATAATTAATTCAGGATTCAGTTCTCATTGTATCACCATACTGTCGCATCAGTTTTCAATGTAAGCCCAACCTATACATGTAATGTCAATTCCCTCTACCAGATACGGTATGTATGCGGTCTGCCTGTCACACTGTAATCCAGGTCCCCTCTACCAGATACAGTATTTATGCCGTCTGCCTGTCACACTGTAAACCAGGTCCCCTCTACCAGATACCGTAGGTATGCCGTCTGCCTGTCACACTGTAATCCCGATTTCCTCTACCAGATACAGTATGTATGCCGTCTGCTTGTCACACTGTAATCCAGGTGCCCTCTACCAGATACAGTATGTATGCCGTCTGCTTGTCACACTGTAATCCATGTGCCCTCTACCAGATACCGTAGGTATGCCATCTACCTGTCACATGGTAATCCCAATTCCCTCTACCAGATACAGTATGTATGCCATCTGCCTGTCACACTGTAATCCCAATTCCCTCTACCAGATACCGTAGGTATGCCATCTGCCTGTCACATGGTAATCCAGGTGCCCTCTACCAGATACTGTATGTATGCCATCTGCCTGTCACACTGTAATCCAGGTCCCCTCTACCAGATACCGTAGGTATGCCGTCTGCTTGTCACACTGTAATCCAGGTGCCCTCTACCAGATACAGTATGTATGCCGTCTGCTTGTCACACTGTAATCCATGTGCCCTCTACCAGATACCGTAGGTATGCCATCTACCTGTCACATGGTAATCCAGGTGCCCTCTACCAGATACAGTATGTATGCCATCTGCCTGTCACACTGTAATCCCAATTCCCTCTACCAGATACCGTAGGTATGCCATCTGCCTGTCACATGGTAATCCAGGTGCCCTCTACCAGATACTGTATGTATGCCATCTGCCTATCACACTGTAATCCAGGTCCCCTCTACCAGATACCGTAGGTATGCCGTCTGCTTGTCACACTGTAATCCAGGTGCCCTCTACCAGATACCGTAGGTATGCCGTCTGCCTGTCACACTGTATTTCCGGTCCCCTCTACCAGATACAGTATGTATGCTGTCTGCCTGTCACACTGTAATCCAGGTCCCTTCTACCAGATACAGTATGTATGCTGTCTGCCTGTCACACTGTAATCCAGGTCCCCTCTTCCAGATACAGTATGTATGCTGTCTGCCTGTCACACAGTAATCCAGGTCCCCTCTACCAGATACCATATGTATGCTGTCTGCCTGTCGCACGGTAATTCAGGTCCCCTCTACCAGATACAGTATGTATGCCGTCTGCCTGTCACACTGTAATCCCGATTCCCTCTACCAGATACCGTATGTAAGCCGTCTTCCTGTCACACTGTAATCCCAGTCCCCTCTACCAGATACTGTAGGTATGCCGTCTGCCTGTCACACTGTAATCCCGATTCCCTCTACCAGATACTGTAGGTATGCCATCTTCCTGTCACACTGTAATCCCGGTCCCCTCTACCAGATACAGTATGTATGCCGTCTGCCTGTCACATGGTAATCCAGGTCCCCTCTACCAGATACCGTATGTATGCTGTCTGCCTGTCACACTGCATGGAGATATACAACCTGATCAGCAACTACAGGCACTGCAAGCACCAGCCTCTACACGGGTCTCCCTACATCACCAGCTTACCAATAGTCTGTGTCCCGAACTCTCGCCTAGGGGAGCTGGGATCAGGGCGCGGGGGTTGACTGGGTTGCCGGTACCTACTTGGAGTGAGGACTCTGTTCTCCATGTATGGGTCGTGACTCCCCACAACAGGGTGGGGCAAGTCCACGGTGCGAGATGAGATTTCAGGAAGGCCATACTTTATGTTGCTTGAGTCATGGCTTTGTCTTGAAGTGAGGTTTAGACTGGGCACATGCACTGGCTCCCCCTGGTGGACATGAGGGGTCATGGCTGCAAGAGAAGATAACTCAGTGTGTTAAATGTGTTGGAGTGCACTCCCTTTATCATGTAGGGAGCAAAAGAAAGGTTTGAGACAACTTTTCATGTTTTGAGATTCATGTTTTCAAACAGTTCACAGAGACTTTTGCACAGCTATCCTACATTACAAGTTAACATTGAAAGCTCTTGAAGTTTCATACTGCATTCAATTTGCACAATCTCATCCGATTTATGCTCATCATTTACTGATAGAGGGCAATGTTGAACTTTGAAGTGTTGCACAGAATCAAAACCCTATTGCATGCATCTACTGCCATGTCTCGCAGTACTACGTGTGGCTTCCATGTGCCATTTCAACTCAGTATAAAACATGCATTGCATGCACTCAATAACATGTGAAACATTGTGGAAGTTGGTTTAGAAGATGGGGACAAGCTTCTTGCCCGTGCAGGAACACTCACAACAGCAAACAGGTGCATAGAAAAGTCAACCATTTCTCTCCACAAACTCAGAAATAGTGATTGATGTGCACGACTAACTGCTAACCAGACTGTGAAACACATGGCTGTCCACAGGCTCTTCTCCTCTGTGGAAGTCTGGGCAGCATGATCCAACACACATTATACTGGTCATAAGAAATGACAAATATTGGCATGTGGTGGAGGTCCTTTCCTACTTAGACTGTGTGGATCATTTTCATTCATGATTGAGACTCAATAATTTACACGCCAATGCCTAGATTTTCGAAACAATCGTGGCCCTATAATAATCGTAAAGTTATCGTAAGGAAATCGTAGGCTATCTACTAGGTTAGCCTATTTTCGAAACTATCATAGCCCAAAGATATTGTAAGATTGCCGTAAATGTAATATTTAAGATAGTTTCGAAAATGTATCTTATCTTAAACTTAAGAGATCTATCTTTAAAAGTAAGTTGTTGAGATTAATCTAGACCCAATGTGATTGTCACATGTTGCTAGATATCTGTCCACACCAAAATATCTGATCGAGGCCATCAGGCCAAGAGAGGATATTGGCTGAGTACTGAGTACAGTATTAGGGCATTAGCTGTGATATTTCTGACAGCCATTATATGCATCCTGTCAGTTGCATGCTTTAGTGAGTCCAAACCTCTTCTAACAATTCACTTTACTTCGGACAGATACACGTAAGTGCAAAATTCACCAGATTACAAAAAGTTGACTGTCTGAATGCCAACAACGTGCCTGTCTGCCTCCAGTCCTGGACAAAACACATGCATGATTAACTGGGGTCTCTAATATGCAAGTGTGCACGACTGACTGAATGTCAACAAAGTGCATGTCTCCCTCCGGTACTGGACAAAACACATGCATGATTAACTGGGGTCTCTAATATGCAAGTGTGCATGACTGACTGAACGTCAACAAGGTGCATGTCTCCCTCCGGTACTGGACAAAACACATGCCTGATTAACTGGGGTCTCTAATATGCAAGTGTGCATGACTGACTGAACGTCAACAAAGTGCATGTCTCCCTCCGGTACTGGACAAAACACATGCCTGATTAACTGGGGTCTCTAATATGCAAGTGTGCATGACTGACTGAACGTCAACAACGTGCATGTCTCCCTCCGGTACTGGACAAAACATGCCTGATTAACTGGGGTCTCTAATATGCAAGTGTGCATGACTGACTGAACGTCAACAACGTGCATGTCTCCCTTCGGTACTGGACAAAACACATGCCTGATTAACTGGGGTCTCTAATATGCAAGTGTGCATGACTGACTGAACGTCAACAACGTGCATGTCTCCCTTCGGTACTGGACAAAACACATGCCTGATTAACTGGGGTCTCTAATATGCAAGTGTGCATGACTGACTGAACGTCAACAACGTGCATGTCTCCCTCCGGTACTGGACAAAACACATGCCTGATTAACTGGGGTCTCTAATATGCAAGTGTGCATGACTGACTGAACGTCAACAACGTGCATGTCTCCCTCCGGTACTGGACAAAACATGCTTGATTAACTGGGGTCTCTAATATGCAAGTGTGCATGACTGACTGAACGTCAACAAAGTGCATGTCTCCCTCCGGTCCTGGTACAAAACACATGCCTGATTAACTGGGGTCTCTAATATGCAAGTGTGCATGACTGACTGAACGTCAACAACGTGCATGTCGTGCAAGACCTGGGTGCAGATACCTGGAAGTGAGCGTGCGCTGACCACAGGGTCACTGAGGTCAGACAACACAGACTGTCTGGCGTCCGGCTCTACAACAACACAGTGGCAGGTGTAAACACAACTGATGTAGTGAATGTAAACAGAGTTCGTAAATCAGCAGAAACAAGGAAAATGATAATGAAAATATAAGGAACAAAATGTGCATCAATGAAAAATTGTACAAAAACTAAAGCAGACACTGCTTTTGAGTGTTGTCAGGTCCATCATTTAATTGGAAAGGATAACAAAATTTGTTTGCCTTATTTAAATTCAGAAATAGTGCCAAAGTTCAGCTCCTTAATTTCAGGGAATTTCAGTGCCCCCCTAACATCCCACCCTGCAGGTGTCCCCTCACCATCAAGATGAGCCTGGAGATAGCTGATGTTGTGCCCCCCTAACATCCCACCCTGCAGGTGGCCCCTCACCATCAAGATGAGCCTGGAGATGGCTGATGTCGTGCCCCCCCCCCAACATCCCACCCCGCAGGTGTCCCCTCACCATCAAGATGAGCCTGGAGATGGCTGATGTTGTGTCCCCCTAACATCCCACCCCGCAGGTGTCCCCTCACCATCAAGATGAGCCTGGAGATAGCTGATGTTGTGCCCCCCTAACATCCCACCCTGCAGGTGTCCCCTCACCATCAAGATGAGCCTGGAGATGGCTGATGTCGTGTCCCCTCTAACATCCCACCCCGCAGGTGCACCCTCACCATCAAGATGAGCCTGGAGATGGCTGATGTCGTGCCCCCTAACATCCCGCCCTGCAGGTGTCCCCTCACCATCAAGATGAGCCTGGAGATGGCTGATGTTGTGCCCCCTAACATCCCGCCCTGCAGGTGTCCCCTCACCATCAAGATGAGCCTGGAGATGGCTGATGTCGTGTCCCCCCTAACATCCCACCCCGCAGGTGCACCCTCACCATCAAGATGAGCCTGGAGATGGCTGATGTCGTGCCCCCCCAAAATCCCATCCTGCAGGTGTCCCCTCACCATCAAGATGAGCCTGTAGATGGCTGACATTGTGCCCCCCCCCTAACATCCAACCCTGCAGGTGCCCCCTCACCATCAAGATGAGCCTGGAGATGGCTGACATCATGCCCCCCTTGACGCAAGTGCTCCATCTTCTTAATGAGCTTCTCCTGCTGAGCCTTCTCCTGAGCCTCGTCCATCGCCATCTTTAGCTCATTGATGCGCCGCTGTCGGGCCTCCTGAAACACACACAACACCATGAGGTCCTGACAGACCATTTCTTACTACTTGCACGGATGACAACTTCGTACTTTACAGATCAGTCTGCATCAGATTTGACAAAAAAGATTTGAAAAGTATAATTCCAAAAATTAGTGCCATGAAACTGTAGCTCACCTGAATTTGTAGTTAACAGTCTAAATAACAAAGACAGCAACTGAACAAAAGAAGTTGTCAGCACTGATTTTCAAATATGTGCTGTAAAATGCAGAGAAATAACACTTAAATTTTACTTCACACCTCATTCTGCCCTTTTGATACAAAAATTTATCACGACAACCATGCTCACTATTCCTATACTCCCCCTCCTCCCTACTGATACTAAGAGCCATCCTTCCTTGTCCCATACTCCCCCTGCCCTCCCTTCTCCCATACTCCCCCTGTCCTCCCTTGTCTCATGCTCCACCTGTCCTCCCTTGTCTCATACTCCCCCCGTCCTCCCTTGTCCCATACTCCCCCTGTCCCCCCTTGTCCCATACTCCCCCTGTCCTCCCTTGTCTCATGCTCCACCTGTCCTCCCTTGTCTCATACTCCCCCCGTCCTCCCTTGTCCCATACTCCCCCTGTCCCCCCTTGTCCCATACTCCCCCTGTCCTCCCCTGTCTCATGCTCCACCTGTCCTCCCTTGTCCCATACTCCCCCTGTCCCCCCTTGTCCCATACTCCCCCTGTCCTCCCTTGTCTCATACTCCCCCTGTCCTCCCTTGCCCTATATTCCCTCCGGCCTTCCTTTTCTCATGCTCCCCCCCGTCCTCCCTTGTCCCATACTCCCCTGTCTCATACTCCTCCTGTCCTCCCTTGTCTCATACTCCCCCTGTCCTCCCTTGCCCCATATTCCCTCCGGCCTTCCTTTTCTCATGCTCCCCCCCGTCCTCCCTTGTCCCATACTCCCTTGTCTCATACTCCCCCTGTCCTCCCTTGTCCCATACTCCCCCTGTCCTCCCTAGTCCCATACCCCCCCTGTCCTCCCTTGTCCCATACCCCCCCTGTCCTCCCTTGTCTCATACTCCCCCTGTCCTCCCTTGTCCCATTCTCCCCCTGTCCTCCCTTGTCCCATACTCCCCCAGTCCTCCCTTGTCCTATATTGCCCTTTGTACCTCCTTCTGCCCTACTGATACAAAGTTTATCAAGAGGACTGTCCTCCTTTGTCCTGTACTCATACCTCCTTCTGGCGTATCTTCTGCTGCTCCGTGTTGAACTGACTCTGCATGTTGTCCCTCTCGTTCTTCATCTTCCACTCCTCCTCCATCTCCTCTCGCATCTTCCTCTGACGTTCCTCACGCTTCAGGCGCTCCTTCTCCTCGATCTGTGAACGTAGTGCATCCTACGAAAAACGAAAAACACAAACAAAATCAGGCAAGGCCAGCCAACATGAAGCAAATATAAACCAAACTTGACATCAACGATTGACAATCCTGAGAGTTCAATTACTTCAACACTCCCCTGACTAGAACTGGATAATTTGTCTTACATGTAACTACGAACCCTCATATCATTACACTAGCTGGCTAAAAAGACAACAAAAACCCAGAATATTAAGCCAAAGATACCTTTTCAAAAATTTGATTGATTTTCCAAAAAGTGATGCTTGGTCATCCCTCTTTCAGACAAGTCTCTAACATATCTACCTGGTGATGCATGTATTTCTGTTTCTTGAGTTCCAGCTCCTTGCGTGTGATGGGGTCAACCATGACGTTCTGACCTCGCAAATGAGTCCTGCAACAGAGATATATGTGCAAAGCTTTATTCTTTCGATTCCACCATGGCCCAACATGGCAAGCAGACATTTAAGAAATGTCACTGTAAAGAGAGCAAAAAACTTTCACCATCAGTCTCTCATAGATGAAAGTAAACTTACATCAGCCAACTTCTCAAATCTGAATATGGTACACATATTTACAGGAAGTCTAAACATCTCAATTATAGTGCAAACACTTTTTATTTGTTTGTTTGTTATTCAACACTGAACTCATCAATATTCCAGTCATATGATGGCAGCCTGTAATATATATTTACACCTGGACCAGACAAATCAGTGATTAATATCACAACCAATGACCAAATCACCAAGCCTGACTATCCCATCCATTGAGCTGCTTCTAACAACAAACAGATTGCTGGGGACCTATTCTAACCCCCGAAACCCTACAAGGGGCTGACACTTATGATGTCGTTCACTCAAAATAAGTTCCTTCCTAACTGGTTTCTTTTTCCCAACTGTCAGTTCCTACGTGTTTCCAAGACAACAAGGAGCAACATCCTGTCACTTCCTTGGACTACTTTACAGTACAACAGAAAATGAAGACATTAGTAGTTGATGCCAGCCTGGATAAGCAGGATCAGCAGCCTACACTGAGCCTAAGTTGTGTACATGGCCTCCATCCACTTACATGTCGCCATCATCCCTGGCAGAGACCTGTGGGGCACTGCTGACCCGTCCGGCGTTGTCTGGCAGGTCAGTGACTCGAACTGCATGGTCCTGCCGGTCACTGCCTCGTTCCGTGTAGTCCAGTGCTGATTGGTTGACGTTCTGGGTGAAGCGGTCCGCCCACGTGTCACCTTCGACATCCCGCTCCTTGTCACGCATCTTCCTCGCTTTGTTCTCCTCCATTTGCTTTTCTATAACAAACAAAACATCACTGTAGTCTTAATGGAAACAAGCCACTTAGGTGATGACGAAATTCTCATTCTCCCGTTTTTCTACAAGAAGCATACCATCACTGCAGTCGTCATGGATACAAGCCATTTAACAAATCTCTTGTCCCGTTTCTCAATTCATAAAGAAACATGTGATGGCAATGACAAGACAGCCTGACACCATGCCCCTTCCGTTCATTAATGTTCGTGATTGGTCGTCATCTTGAAACCAATCATTGCCTGACTGTTTTCGTATCCTGCAGCTTTCCTCTGATTGCGCACAGTTCATTCACTTATTCACTTGACAGCCCTAAATATATACAGACTAATTCCTTGCATGTATAACTGAATGTGACCATTACCATTATCACAAACTGTTCACTCCGATTGTGATAGTTACTTATTTTTTCAACAAGCTTATCAACAGACATGTGAAATGCTTTCAGTAGAAACCTGTGACGTACCTAAATCTTCCAGCCACCTGCGCTTTTCCTGCTGTTTATCTTTAAGGATTTTTTCATCACTTGGTGCAGCATGCTAAAAAACAAAATAATTTGCATTTTCTCGAAAAAGTCCAAGCATCACCCGCCATTACACAATCACACATTGTGAGCAGATGCACTAAAATACCTGGTGTTGATTGGTCCACCGTACCGAGAGGCTGTGTCAGCACTATAGAAGTACAACATGGCAACTTGATCTCTATCCCAAGTGGGTGATATAATCATGTGTACTACTTGAACCATTAATGCTCAGTTGATTGTAACACCTTCGCTTGCATTTCATAGGTTGTGTAGAAATTACTGTTTTGTTTAATGAAACAACACAGGCTATCACTGTGATATCACTGCCCAAATGTCAAGGACAAACAGATGCTTCAGAATCTTGACCTTGAGACGTAGTGGCTGTATTTCCTATCTTGGGTAAAAACATGAAAGAGACTACAAATTCAACCCTGGGGTAATAGTTAAGGACAACTGTTCTTGTCCAAATCATGACTATCAAAACACTACTTACGCCGACTTTGAATGAGCTCCTTACAGCAGCATGTTGTGAGTCAGCAAAGTCAGGAGCACTGGAAGATTCTTGATGGGATGACCTGTACAAAGGGAGATAATCATGTGTTACCAGAACACTTCTAAGGTAACCATGCTACATTATTCCCATCTGACAGACCTAAAGGCAAATTAGGCACACTGTCTCCTTTCTCCATGTTTTAACTTATTTAATCCAAACCAATGAACCATCGACTACTTACACCCCACTTCTGGTCTTGTTGCCATGGTTTCTTCTGTTATTACCATACATGTGAGGGCCGAGACAGCCAGGAGTGATATCTCATATCCTAAGTTGCCACGTTAAGGTTATTTGTGCAAGTTATTTCTTATGAATCCAGATTCTAGAACTACAACCAAGTCAAGAGATATTGCAAACTTTCCCACCAAAGACACAAACTCTGAACATTTTGTTGCCAAGCCACTGACATATTCGCTGTACCAAGGGGGTTGAATGGTGAGGCAAGCTTTTAGAAACTGCCTTTGTTTATGATAACCTTTTTGTAGTGCTTTTTTAATAATGTTGTCAGATTTGATGTTGAAAATCACAAGAAATGGAAAAGGCAAATTAGCACCTGATGGGGAAGAAGTTTGCCACACACGTAGTTTCTTCTGTGTATCGTTCAATATGGTCCCACGACGCAACTGTAGGTATATTGGCTGATACACCTCGAAATGTACAAGCATAACTCTTACCATCTTCCCGAGGCAAGAGCGTCCACCAGCCTTTTTATTAAAGTCTTGCACATAACAATAGTCCAATCAGAGAACGTTTCACAAAATCAACCTCCACGACTGGTACACATTCGTATGAAAGTGATCTACTGCTGCCTTGCCTTTGTTGACACGAGTGTCTTTTTCATCTAAAAAACATTGCCTATGTTTTTGTGTCAGGGATGAAATCACTAATGATATCGTAATCTGATCAACTAGGTCGTCGCCTATGGTAGTCGCCATCTTTGTGAAGCTATACGAGATAAGAACAGTGATCTGATTGGATATCGTGTTTTTATTACAAGGGGCATAACTTGTGATCTACGCAAGGTGGCGCCAGGGTCGAGCTAAGAAAAGTGGCCTTGATGTAGCAAGGGTAGAACCAAGGCTTTGATATAGGCTAGTGGAACTCTTACTGAAACTAATAAAACTGTTTTGAGGTACATGTACTACTCCACTGAAGTTAAGGACCACCCAAATTCTTTCACATTACTATAGTTAATATGTCCCGACAACTGTGTACTAATCTTAGCCCAATATTTTTGTATTACTTTAGTTACGCTGACATGCCATGACAGATAACTTTAGTAATATGAAAGAATCAGGAGGTTCTTAACTTCTTTTGAGTAGTATATGTATACATGCCATCCCATCCCCCCATGGTACTGGTGGTGATCCTCATTCCAACAATCAATTGACTTACAGGTACTTGTGCAGGTGAAGATTTGTACACACACAGTTGTCTGAGACACAAGTATGAACGCAGGGCTCAGTTTAGCTATCAAAAACATGCACCAGTGCAACCTCCTATTCAAAAATGCAACCAAGAGCATGCAAAAAAAAAAATCTAACTAAAGTCTGACTAACCCTTACCTGTCCACAAAACATCAACCCTTGAACTCACTCAATGTTTCTAAGCTTTATTTACCACACTATATCACTAATCCCTGTGTTGTGTGTAAATCCTGACACATGACACAGTCATCAGAGATCTGAGATGTTACGTATTTAGACCAGTTTATGCATCTTTGTTTCAACTTTAACAATTTGATGGGACCAGGGTGCTACCTGGTTATGTCTGGAGCGACAATCTTTTAATGTCAACATGCACCAGGTGCAAGATAAATCAACTTCCTTAAACTGAGTCCTGGCACATGACCTCACCATGCGTGCCACCCCTACAGATCATCCCTCCCAGATAATGTAGCCTACTATATGCTGACATGCTTGCCACCCCTACAGATCATCCCTCCCAGATAATGTAGCCTACCATGTGCTGACATGCTTGCCACCCCTACAGATCATCCCTCCCAGATAATGTAGCCTACCATGTGCTGACATGCTTGCCACCCCTACAGATCATCCCTCCCAGATAATGTAGCCTACCATGTGCTGACATGCTTGCCACCCCTACAGATCATCCCTCCCAGATAATGTAGCCTACCATATGCTGACATGCTTGCCACCCCTACAGATCATCCCTCCCAGATAATGTAGCCTACCATATGCTGACATGCTTGCCACCCCTACAGATCATCCCTCCCAGATAATGTAGCCTACCATATGCTGACATGCTTGCCACCCCTACAGATCATCCCTCCCACATAATGTAGCCTACCATATGCTGACATGCTTGCCACCCCTACAGATCATCCCTCCCAGATAGTGTAGCCTACCATATGCTGACATGCGTCATCAGAAGTTTAGTTGCCCTTGAGAACAAGAGCTTGTCAGATGTTTCAAAGAGGGAGCCATGAGGCTCAGTAGCTCACCTGAATACTTAATATTTGCAACATCTAGATTATTTGAAACTAAAGTCATACAGGTCTCAAAAGGCTGAAAATGCAATTCTATCACACAAAATATTGTAAATCACACAATGATACAGAAAGGGCAAAATGTTTAAATTCCTATCAGGATTCCTGGAGTTCACACCAGCATCAGACTAGCCTGTGTAAGAGGCAGCCCTTGGGATAGTATACTAACAATAGTGACGGTAGTTTCTCTACACTACTTAAGTTCGACCTATCCCTTCAATGGCACATGGTGAAACAGCTGCTACCTCTTGTCGATGACGAGCACGACAGAGTCCTGTTCTGGCAGGGGGGCTGGTTTGTACGAGCCGAACCTATCAGCCCACGTGTCATCCAGGCCCGTCTTGTCTCGCTCCTTGCTCTTCTGTTTCTTCACCCGCTGCTCTTCTCTCTGTCTCTCTGGAACAAGTGAGTGAGGCAATCAGTCGGGAACTTGCAATAGTCCTACAGTATCACGGCAAAGGACACTAGGAATGGGCCTTGCACATTGTAGCTTTGTTGGGAAATTAACCTTTAGACAAAACTATGTTTTGACAACTAGGCTACTGAAATAGCCCCTGATTACTATAAAGTGAGTGAGTGATTTCAAAATGCTTCATAAAACATCAGAGGCCCTGACTGTACTTTATCCTGCATTATAATGGACAAACATCAGGCGCCGTTCAAATTTCCTCTCTCATGATCTAATGTATCCTAGGTCACACAGTTCTTTCATTACTGCCAAGCAAGATAGTGCATCCACATCAATTTGTGGTGAAACAGTTTCTTTAATCTTGTTGAATATTGCTGCTAATACGGGAGGATCATAATCAGGGCAACCCATAATTATCGGATCCTGGCATTACCAAGGGACACAACTCTGCTAAGCAAATTGCGGCTCTTCCAACCTCTCTGTCATTATGGACAGACTTCTGACCATCGAGTGAGTAATTGTATCAGGAAAGATGTGGCTTGATAGTTCCAGTCATCAAAATATATGGTAACTATGGCAACATTATCTCACTTAGCCAAATGTTTATGATAGAATCGGGTACAAATAGAAGCATTACCATGATAACGAACATGGCTATGGTGCTGACACGCCTTGTAGCATAATCAGGGCACCTCTGGAATTGAAACACTCATCCGTAACTAAGAGATGCAACTCTACAAAGCAAATTCCTGCACCTCCTGCACAACCAAACCACCCAGCTACTCTTCCTTGTGAGAATAAGTTTACTAATGTGAACTGCTATGTGTAACCAACATGATCAGCACACATCATGTTTCTTCTTGATTCATACAATGGAATGTCCACTATTATCAGATAATGTCCACCAAGGACTTGGCAGCGGAGGACCAAGGTAGCAAGCTTCCACTGCACTTCAGTGGTGAGTTTCCCCGTTCAAGTGGTGCCGTTGCTTCAAGTCCCATCTTCCAGGATATACTCACCAAGTTCCTCCAACCACTGCTTCTTTTCTCTCTGCTTGGCAGTCACAATCTTGTCCTCATCAATGACAAAACCCTGGAATCCAATCTTCAAGTATATATCTCACAAATAAACACATTTACCTCAACAATGTCAATTTTCCTTACAAATATGTAGTAAACTGATGAGACATATCACACAGACACACTAACACGTTTGTATTTATCAAATAAGACACGTCACAAAAGCAGAGAAATGGCTGTTATCCAATGAAACATATCACACAAGCACAGAAATGGCTGTTAATAGTGTTATCCAATCAGATATATCACACAGACAGAAACGACTGTAATCACAATATTATCAGGTCATAGGTTTGCAGACACTACTAAAGAAATTCCTGTCTACAAACAATTCTTCACGCCACACTCCTTTCCTGTGTGAACAGCTGATCGTAGTCCATATAGATATAATTTACACAAATGATCTAGCTAGTTGGTTTGTTTGTTTGTTTGTTTCTTATTCAACGCCACACTCAGCAATAGTCCAGCTATATGACAGCAGTTGGTAAATAATCGAACCTGGTCTACGGAACTGGGATACGATGACATGCATCAACCAAGTCAGCGAGCCTGACCACCCGATCCCGTTAGTCGCCTCTTACGACATGCAGGGGTTGCAGAAATCAAGATCATGAAGGTGATACAACACTTCCTAATCATTACAATCATTGAAAGAAGTTTTCACAAATAAACCATACTCACTGTATGTTCAATAATAATTTGTTACATGAAAACTGACTAAAAATAATAAAAAATGACAGCCATGCTGGAATCTGGTTCAAGTGAGCTAAGCTGGCCTGATGGAAGTGTGTGAAAACCTATGACCCGGCACACGAAGCAGAGAGTCAGCACAGGAAGCGACCACCATACACCATGATACACCATGCTATGGGGTACTCACTGCCACGACTACCTTGCCCTCCAGAATAGAGTGCAGCGCACGTCTGTCCTGCCCCCCCACCTTATCTGTCACTCTGCTTGAGTCGGCAGTCGCGGTCTGCTTTGTGTCTGCAGTTCTGGTCTGCTTTGTGTCTGCTGCTGCTGTCTGCTTCTTGTCTGGCAGATTCTCCACAGACTTGTTCAAGTCGTCCTGTAACAAAGGATTTTTACTCATAAAAACAGACGTCTCCCCTCTACTGTTTATTGATACATTAGTTCAAGTTGTTAAGAAGATGTAATTACTCAAAAACAAGCATGAATACTCAAATACCTTGCCAATATGACATGTCCGGTAGTATGCAAGGCAAGAAACATTGTACGGTTTTCAAGATCTGCTCCGGAAACGAGCATTACTGCCACATTCAGTCTAAGTCAAAGTCCTTGCCATGGAAACTTGAAAAACAGATTTTTCAAAAATCCCAAATGATCAAAAGGCACCAGTTAACCTCTAGACCTATCTATATGACAAGTTTGGTTAAGATATCTCTCATTTTTTTTAGTTCTGCTCTGGAAACGAAACGTGACAGACGGACTGACAGCCTACAAACCGTCATGATACTGACTTGTCGCTTCACAGAGGTATCGGCTCTCTTATAGTGTTTGCAAACAAATTGGTCCTACAAGATTTATGAATGTAAAGACAACCTTGACTTTTGACATTGTTGCAGGTGCTTCAGCCAAAAGAAAACAATCTGCTATATTACCTTTCTTGTATTGAAGTCAGCCAGCACGTCTCCTCCACTGGTCCGGAGGGGGGCACCTGCTCCAGGTCGGCCCCAGGGATCATAGTTCTGCTCCAGCTCAGCTGCAAGTCAGGAACTCTCCTCAGTTACCCACATAGCATCTTCCTACCATTTCTACTTCAACCTAACTCAGCAACTTTGGGTCCTCTTCTATGTACTATCAAGGCTAGCATGTGAAGATGTTATTAGAAAAACGTAGCAATTACATACATCAAGTAATATGATGTACATAATCAGTAACAAAATGTAATATTGACATTTCCAGCTCAATAAAACAAATACTTCTGATTAAAATGAAACTACCGCTTGATTAAACTACCTCAAGAAGGTCCTGACTGAAAAGTTAAAGCAAAACACTTACAGCCATTAATGGATGGAAATTAACATATATGAACGTAGCATTCCCAGGTTAACATTGCCTTCAAACCATCTTCTGACATTATTGGTGGGAGTGTATCACACCTGTTGTTCAAGGCAGTGATATGCTGTCACGTCACTTTATGAAGGGACATAACATATACAATCTGATGACACACATGTAGGGAATTGAACCTGGTCTACGGCATGACTGAACACTGAAAGATGTTTGCATTACATGAGTGTCTTATTCACTGGCCCCGATTGATATGCCAGGTCAGAATACTGGCCACAAGGATTGTCCTACCAGGAAAAGTCAATGGATCGGGTAGTCAGACTCGGTAAATACTACTAATTTCCTACCTCTCTCCCGAGCCCACTGAAGCCTCTTCCTCTCCGCAACCGTCATGTGTTTCCATGGTACCCGAGGACTCTCGTAGAACAGCACATGATCTCCACCTTCCTGCTTGTTTTCCTGATTACCTCCCTTTGCCTCCTGATTATCTCCCTTGGCTTCATCTGACTTGGTGACATCCGACTTCTCCTTTTCCTGTGACTCCCCCAACTCGGACTTGACAGACTCAACAACCTTCTTGTCAGAGGCCTGTGACTTGTCCGACTTTTTCAATTTTCCCCTCCGACTTTCTCGGCCTTTCTCTTTGACAGATAACACTGACTCCGAAACATCATCCTCCCGTCTGGAAAGATCATTTACTTAGTTAAAAGGGATGAAATCAGATGTCTTCATCATAATTGCTGATTAATACAGCATAAACAATACACTTCCATGATGACCAAGATTATATTAAATGAAACACTTAATAAACATGTTGTTATAATGATGTAATCAGAACAGAAATATTAACATGATTAAAGTTGGATTATAACATAAAGATTTCTAAATCCAGATTTCTATTGTCCTAAACGTCTCATAAAGGCATAATAACATTCATTTACCAGAGTACCAGAGGTACAGAAGCTCACCTTTTTATTGTGGGTTGAGCAAAACAAGCATCTTCTTTAAAAGCCATACCACTCAATGTGTACACCAGGATTTCAATATTATTCCTGATGTTCACAGAGCATGTCTTGATACCATTCTTGGAATGATTTTGAATTTTGAATACAACATGTCTTCACAGTAAAACATGTTGCTGCAACAGCCATTTTGAATCTTTGCAATGTTGAACATGTTATCTTTAGAGGGAGTGAGTGAATGAGTGAGTATGGTGTTAGTACTTTTACGCTGCTTTTATCAATATTCCAGCAATATCCTGGCGGTTGACATCAGAAATGGGCTTCACATATTGTACCTATGTCGGGAGAAGAACCCAGGTCTTCCGCGTGACGAGCCAACGCTTTAACCACTAGGCTACCCGACCACCTCTGTTATGATAAGGTCATGAAGGTGTTCACCATGTTCATAATGCTAATGGACTATACAAGCTAACTGCCCATACTTAATGTACAGCTGCACTAACTACTGGACACTGTTCCAACTCAAACATGATGGCATCTTCTAGGAGATGGAACGAATCACGTAAAGATAACCACAGTCAGCTAAACTGTTACTGTCTAGCATGCAGTCCATCAGGTATCTGGGCATTGGTCATGCTATTAGTGACACATTCTAACCACAAGCAAAAACAAGGGCTGGCTATTGATATAGATCATTGAGATTGATAATCGCTAACAAAATCCTGAAAGAAATCAACATATTTCACTCCACTTGTGAGCAGTGACACATTTATGCATGGTTTACTTTGTGGACATTTGAGATATAACAAAAAACTGTTGCTTTCCTTCTTTGACAATTGACATTATTGACAATAACAAGTCTCTTTTGGTAAATCTAAACTATATTTCATCACAATAGTTTATTTGAGTTATTATTGATGACAACATTTTAATCAGTTCATATTGATAATAGTTAATTTTTTCTTCCCATCGGCGATAATTCCGATTATCAATCTTTTTAGCCAGCCCTAGCAAACACTGAAGAAAAATGTGTGAAGAACAAGAGAACAATGTTGACCAACAGAAAAAAATGTGCAAATAAACTTACATACTAATGCCAAAAAAGTGTAACGATAACCAGCTCATTTGTAACGTGTGTGGTAATCCCACTGCAATCAGTACTTCAGTCACATCACGATGTGTCAGCTCAGGTGAAACCCACAAGCATGGGATGGTGCTCACAAACCACCAATCATAACCAATACAACAAGAGTTTGCCACTAACGTGGCTATATCCCCCGCCCCTGTTGCAGAATTTATGACATAATTAAATGTAAACAAACCCTAACCTTTTTTAACCGAGGCGGAACTTGTCATGGAAATTGTAAAAAAAAGAAGAGTTTGGAACCTAAGTCCATCTTGCTGCCATGGAAATGTAAAAAATATAAATTTCTAAATAGCAAAAGACACCAGTTCAGCATGTACTTGACAGACCTGCAAAGTTTGATGAAAAAATATTGAACGGTTTCTGAGTTATGCTCCGGAAACAAAACATGACGAACGGACGGTTAAGGGAACTCAAACCCCAACATACAGGTCTCGGCAAGCTCAACCTCCCACCTGGGACCCAAAGCAAGTCATAAATAAAAATGATAAAAACAAGTGTGATTGATGTTAAAGAGCAAAATTATACTTGATCTAATCACCTACATTCCCAATCACTGGGTAAAGAAGACTATGAACTATAACACAGTAACAACAAACAAAATATAAACAATAGCAAACTATTCTACACTGTAATCTCTAAACAAGGAATGAACTGGAAATGCAGTTAGTAGCCATGGTAACTATGACGAAGAGGCACTGCAAGCCATGCTACAGCGTGTATGGAGAACAGAGCTGCCCCAGTAATTACCTCCTGTGTTGGCGTCTACCATCTCTCCTTCTAGGAGACACATGCCCCACTCTCAGTTTGCGACTTGTTACTTGCCTTACAAAATAAAATATGGTCACAATAAACTACCAGTACTTGATTTAGATACACAAATACAGTTAACCATTTTCATAACGAACACGCTTATAACAAACTGACGGATATATTCGGATACTTTTTGATCACCCCCGGGTGTGCCTGCATTCATAGTACGTTTTGATGAAGCTTCTCGTTATATTCATGTATAATGTGTATGTGTGTTGTTGCAGCCTTTAGCCACTAGTCTCAAGCCCTAGTTCAGTATGTTCAATAAAATGTCTTCCTTTCCTTTGAACAGCTCTTCATAGTTCATAGGTTCGCAGACAATGCTAAAGAAATTCCTATCTATAAACAATTTTTCACACCACACTCCTTTCCTGTGTGAAAAGCTAATCACAGTCCATATATAAAGATATAATTTACAGAAATGATATAAAAAGACCAAGCTAGAAAGTTTGTGTGTTTGTTTGTTGTTCAATGCCGCACGCAGCAATATTCCAGTTATATGCAGCGATCAATAAACAATCAATTTAGGACCAGACAATCTAATGATTGACATCATGAGCATCGATCTACACAATTGGGATACAATGACATGTATCAACCAAGTCAGCGAGCTTGACCACCTGATCCCGTTAGTCGCCTCTGGCCAGTGGGGATAAAGCTTTTTCCACAGTCATTATAATGTCCCTCTATGTCAATCAACAATTGACATCAAATGTTGAATCATGTTAACTGTGACATCTTCTTCATCATAAATATATTTGTGTCTGAGTTTTTTATGTATAACATCTTGGCCTACTCTTTGAGATATGTTTACACTGAAGCCCATATTGATGTCGGTATTTAACGACACTTAAAGGGCAAGTTCACACGGAAATTAACCTATTTTTCTTGTACTTTTTCCACATTAAAAGTGTTAACATAGAAGTGTCATAGACAAAAATATAAAAATATCACAATTAATTAACATATTTTTCGCATTAAAACGATTTATATTTTTCACATTTACCAAGTGTTCTATTTCCACAACAAAAACACCATGGCTTATGCCCCTTGCAATATGACGTCATTGGTGCCAATTGATAAACATTATGACGTCATCCTGCTTTGTTAGAGCCGCTTCACGTGGTGTAGGTCCAGATGTGTGATTCTAGCGTCTCAGATGCCAGCCAGCATAGTGTTATGCTGAGTCACCACTGCGCCGGAGTGTGTCGTAGGCCATGTTGTTTTACCGCAAACTGGTACTTGATATCTTTTGCGTTGAGAATAGACAGGGACCCAGTTGAATTGGCACCAATTACGTCATAATCTAAGGGGGATAACTCAGGCCTGTTTAGCTCAAAAAACGAAGGCCTCATAACGGCATATCATTTTCACACTATTGTGAGCTTCCTACGTTCACTGTGAAAAAAATGAGTGTATATTTTCAAACACAGATACTAATTAATTCTAAAATTGCGTTTTGTTTAGAAAAAGAAAGAAAGTGATTTTTGCGTGTACACTTCCCCTTTAATGGTATATGCTAGGAATGTCTGGTACAACTTGTCACAAGAGGAATAACCTTACCCGTTATCAGACCCTTTTTTGGAGGCATTGAGCAGAGAGAAGATGGTGGCTTCTTCCTCCGCTCCGTCCTTCTTCTCCTTGTCATCATCTCGAGGAGATGCCTTTTGTTGGTCAGTCTTCTCCGCATCAGCATCAGCGATGGAGATCTCATTGCTCTCCTTATCTGAAGAAGACATGACCCAACTGCATCAACCTTCTCTGCCACTTGGACATAGATCAGTTGACCATGCTCTCCCACGTAGCTGATATTGTACCACAGCTTAAATAGTATCATGAAAGAATCGTGTGTTCTCTAACTTCTTTTGAGTAGTATATATCATAGCCTGGTATCTTAGATCGCTGATCATTGTCTCAGCCTCCATGATATGGATGGAATTTGTTGACAGGCCAGCGTTCATCCACTCACTCACTCTCTCCCACAACGTTACTAATGACAACAGACCAAACTCATCGTTGACACAGCCAGGGAAGCCTTAAGGACAATTTGGTTTAGATTTTAAACCTCCATGACTAAACTATACACATATTGAACTTTTCATGACAAGTTGGAAGTACAAAAAAGCATGGTCAGGCCAACAATTTAACACCATCATGTTACTTGGAGCACAGATTCACCTTGTCCAACATTCGGACAGTAGAACAAGTTTAAACTATTATAATTCTCCCACCCCCGCCCCCATATCCCAGAAACCCCTTAATTTTTTAACACTGCTTGATAAAAACTGGAGCCCAACTTAATCTAACTTTTCAAATACATACCTTCTAAGTGGATTCATTTTTGTAATCTCACACATTTTTTTACATTTGTTTCACAAATATAGACACTAAAATCATTATAAATGTGATTTCATCATCAGAGAAACATACTTGGCAAACTTCAGCTTCCTCAGCCTGGTAATGTCAGAGGAGAATTATGTTCAGAAAGCCAAAAATGTTTTTCCAGAGATCTTAAGAGCATAACAGTAATTTTATTTCGTAAACTGAAATAAGGTCTAAATGCGATTATCCCTGGCTTCCGGCGGAAGTCACAAGCCTTTTAAAGTCACGTGAGAAAAAACGAGATCTCGTCCTTGATTCTCTGGCTTCCGAAGACGCAAGACGTGGAAAATTTGCGTGCTCGTCTTGTGTTTTTCATCGTGAGCAATCTTCGATGGTTTTTTCGTCAGTCTTGCTCTTTTTGTGATTTCTTCTAGGCTTAACTCTTTTCTTCGGTTTTTTAACCGTCATGAGATCGGATCATTCATCGGCTTCGGATGGCGAGGATGGAATTCCTGTTAGCCAAAAGCATGGACGCCATGTGCCTGTCAGCCATGAGGCAACCACGGCCGCTGGAACCAGCCACGAGGCAAACAATAACCAGAGCCATGAGGCAGTTGGTGACAATGGCAGACCTAAGGATATTGATTCGGAGAATCGAAGCAGGAAACGAAATAGGAAGGACTGGAAAGGTTTCACAATTCCTAAACGGGACCACGCTGTTTCGCGCCATCGTCATCGCAAAAGAAATGACAGTAGCACAAGTAGTTCTCATTCCGATAGCTCGTCATCCAGCTCAAGTAGTGACACTAGTTCATCAGAATCGTCAGTTTCGGAGGATTGTGTTTCCAACGATCGTACTGTTAGTACTGATAATCACCTGTATAAGCGTTTTAAGCCCACGGATGATAGGGCTGAACAAGAACTGTCTAACGAACTGCTAGATTATGCACATGAGCATTTCAACCACTACATTAAAGATGAAGTTATCACCAAGAATATATTAGAGGGCTGTCCGACCCCAAAAGGATTTGTGCCACTAGAGCTTGATGAAGAATGGTCAGATATGTTGGAAGAAAAAAGATTTACTGCGGCTAAATCTGTTGAAGCAGGGTTGGGAAAAATCCAATCAAGACTACTCAATGTGATGGGACCACTCGGTCAAGTGTGGCAGACAGTAGATAAAATCAGGGATAAAGGTGGTGAAGAGATTGATGTGAACGACTTTTTGAATTTAGTTGAAAAGACTGTTTGTTTGTTGGGGCAAGCTAACGTTGCCACTACCTTCTATAGAAGGCTGCACATTCTAACAAAGCTGATGAAAAGTCAGAAGAAAGCCCAGAAATTTCTCTCAAAGAATGAGAAAAAGTTTAGTGACAAGAAGGCCTTGTTTGGCAAAGGTTTTTACAAGAAATTGTTAAAGCTGTCCAAGGACAGAAAGAAGAGATTGGACATTGAGAGACAGTTTTCAGACTACAAAAACAAGAGCCAATATGGCTTCAAGAGCTCTACTAGAGGGTTTAGCAGAGGAAACAGTCGACCCTTTCACAGAGGGCCCTCATCAAGTTACCAGGGTTACAGAGGTGGGGGCCGGTACAGTACCAACTCTTTCCAGAAGGTGCGTTTCACCAACTCGACCAGAAAGCGAGACCGCAGTGGCAGAGGGTTTTCCAGAGGAAGGTATGTATGTTTCACAATATCAAAAGGGAAACACACTGCACAGTCAGTTACAGGACCTAGACTTTCAGGTCATTCAGGAAGATCCCAAACTAGGGGGGAGATTAAAACACTTCATAAAAAATTGGCAAAAGTTGACAAAGGATCGTTACATTCTAAACATTGTTCAGGGGTACAGAATAGAATTCAATCAAATTCCTCAGCAAAAATCAGAACCAACAGAACTAAAGATGCAAAAATCAGAAATGGACATAATGTCTGCAGAGGTAACAAAAATGTTAGAGAAAGGGGCAGTGCAGTGGGTTTCTCCAGTACGAAACCAATTCGTGAGCACAGTGTTTGTGACCCCAAAGAAAACAGGGGGTCACAGACCGGTATTCAATGCAAAGAAACTAAACTGTTGTGTTGCTTACCAACACTTCCAAATGGAAGGAATAGTGACACTGACAGAGCTGGTAAACAAACAGGACTATATGATCAAAATAGATCTCAAAGATGCCTATTTTTGTGTCCCAGTGTGCAACGAGCACAAGAAATACCTAAGGTTCCGCTGGCAAAACAAACTGTACGAGTTTCAGTGCCTACCCTTCGGACTTGCTTCAGCACCGAGGGTATTCACGAAGCTTTTGAAACCAGTGATTTCTTTCTTACGCAGAATAGGAATCCGAGCCCAAATTTATCTAGACGACTTGATTTTGGCCAATCCCCAGAAAGATGCATTGAGGATAGACAGGGATTCGACCCTAGAAATTCTAGAGAAACTAGGCTTTGTGGTGAAGGGGCGGTCGGGTAGCCTAGTGGTTAAAGCGTTCGCTCGTTACGCCGAAGACCCGGGTTCGATTCCCGACATGGGTACAATGTGTGAAGCCCATTCTGGTGTCCCCCGCCGTGATATTGCTGGAATATTGCTAAAAGCGGCGTAAAACCATACTCACTCACTCACTCACTTTGTGGTGAATTGGAAGAAGTCAGTCCTAGAACCATGTCAGATAATAGAGTACTTGGGTTTCACTGTCAACTCGATAGACATGACGTTGGCACTGCCACAGGACAAAGTGACTGGCATTCTTCGACAGTGCGAAATGATGTTGACTTGTTCCAACACAACTGTACGACAACTAGCGACATTGATAGGCAAACTAACTGCCTCAATGATGGCGGTGCTACCAGCACCACTACACTATCGACATTTACAAATGCTGAGAACGAACGCTCTCCTACCAAAACAAAACTACGAGACAAAAGTGACTTTGACAGTAGAGTCCAAACAGGAATTGAGATGGTGGATACATCATCTCGCCGATTGGAACGGCAAATCTTTTCTCTCGACAGGGCCAGATGTAGTCATAACTACAGATGCCTCGAAAATGGGGTGGGGAGCAGTGTATGGGAAAGTTCGGACAGGTGGAGTGTGGAGTCTCTCTGAGAGAAAACACCACATCAATGTCCTGGAGCTTATGGCTGCTTGGTTATCCATTCAGACTTTTGCCGAGAGCAGAACAGATGTACACATCCATCTAAGGATGGACAACCGATCAGCAGTGGCATACCTCAACAAGAAAGGGGGAACGAAGTCCAGGGACTTGTTGACGGTAGCCCAAATGATCTGGGATTTCTGCCTCGAGAGAAAGAACATTATATCGGCCGAATACCTTCCCGGGAAGGACAATGTGGAGGCAGATTGGGAGTCGAGACACCACTCAGACTCCAGCAATTGGAAACTGAAAACAGTTTATTTCAAGCAAATAAACAAAATTTGGGGACCAATAAATGTGGATCTGTTTGCCGACAGACTGAACAGACAGGTGGACAGGTATGTCAGCTGGCGGCCAGATCCGACAGCATGGCAGACGGACGCCTTCCTAATGGAATGGAAGGACATGAAACCGTATGCATTTCCCCCATTCAGATTAATAGGCCGTTGCCTAATGAAGGTAAAAAAGGAGAAATCAGAACTCATATTAATAGCTCCCACATGGCAAAGCCAACCGTGGTTCCCTATTCTGATGAGCTTGTTAACAGAGGAGCCAATCCTCCTTCCTCCAGACCCACAGATGTTGTCGTCTCCAGCAGGGGAGACCCACCCCCTGATGGAACAAGGGTCTCTTACCCTTGCAGCCTGGAGAATCTCGGGAGTTGTAACCAGCCAGAAGGCATTTCTGAATCGGCTTCCGAGTTACTCTCCAAATCCAGGCGCCCAGGCACCAGGAACTCTTACAACAGCTCCTGGCAGAAATGGCGTAGTTGGTGCATGGGGTGGGAAATTGATCCATTTCAAGCCTCTGTGGCAAATGTGATTAACTTTCTCACTCATCTGTATGAATCAGGCTATTCTTACAGCACAATCAATGCAATAAGATCAGCTATTTCAGCGGTTCATCCCCATGTGCAGGGAGAACCGGTAGGTCAAACGAAAGAAATTAAGAACACAATGAGAGCAATATTCAATGAAAGGCCTCCCCAGCCTAAGTATACCGAAACTTGGGACGTTGACACAGTGACAGAGTACATCAAAAGTTTAGGCCCAAACAGTGACTTACCTGATAAGATCCTTACACAAAAGACGGCGATGTTGTTAGCATTGACGAACGCGAGTAGGGCTTCTGAGTTGCACAAATTAGATCCTAACAATGTTTCAGATTTTGGAGACCACATTGAATTTGTTATTACTAGATTGACAAAAACACGGAAGGTGGGGTCTTGTCCAAGCAAAGTGACCGTTTATGCATCTGACATACCTGAACTTGACCCCACATCAGCAATTAGAGCTTATCTACACAGAACTAAGTGCTGGAGAGTATCTTCAGAGCAGGAACATCAATTGTTCTTGGGATGTTCCAAGCCACATAGACCAGTTGTCACATCAACTGTTTCTAATTGGCTGAAACAGCTGATGGAACAGGCAGGGATTGATACCAAGAAATTCCAGGCTCATTCAACTAGATCAGCGGCTACTTCCAAAGCCAGAAACTTTGGGATGTCAGTTGCTGAAATTATCAAATGTGCAGACTGGTCAAAAGCTAAAACCTTTCATAGATATTACGAAAAAGGCATTCAAAAAAACACCAATGAGAAATTTGCAAACATTGTTCTAAACTAAATGAATCAGATGATATTACAATGCAAAACTGTTAGGATACAGATTTATTAGGGATCAGAAGTTTAAACAATCGCATTTAGACCTTATTTCAGTTTACGAAATAAAATTGGGAATTTTATAAGCGTGCAAAGCACGCGCAATGAAATTGTAATTTTATGAGTAAACTGAAATAAGGTCTAAATCCCTCCCTCTCCACCCTAGTGATTATACATTAGGTACTTGAATGGATTCAACTTACATCTTTAGTGAAAGATTTTGATCTGGATCATATTATCAAATGATTAATGGTGGAGTCTCAATTTATATGTGAAGAGCTTATTTAGTGAAACCACAAACTCATGAGTGTTTTTTGTTTTGTTTGCAGTTAGAAGAGTTTGCAGACTATGGAGAAAGAAGGATCCACTTTTGGTGTTTGTTGCAGTTCTAGTTGGATTGGTTCTATGAAGTGGGATCATGGTACCTGTGTGTTGGGTGGATTGGACCACTGAGGTGTTCAAGACATGGTTACAAGTTGACTTTGTGGTCTTCGATTTCTGGTGCAGAAACTGATACTTGAGCCTATGGCACAGACATTCCAAGACGTTCGGTTTTGTTGACTCAGCAGGTACTGTTCCAGTACCTATTTTTGGTTGAGTAAACTGTTATCACACTTAATATTCTTGTCTTTTCTTCTTCGCTCAGAGAATCAAGGACGAGACTTTAAAAGGCTTTTGACTTCCGCCGGAAGCCAGGGATAATCGCATTTAGACCTTATTTCAGTTTACTCATAAAATTACAATTTCATTGCGCGTGCTTTGCACGCTTACAAAATTCCCAATTCCTGATCAGAAATAGTAAAACAGTGCAATATATAGGTTTTTCAATATGTCTGCCACTGCATGTGTCATTACTGGTGGGAACATCATATTCAGTTTCTGATTCAGTGGTCAAGTGCTTTTGGGGAGATATTTACAATACGCAGAAATGCATTTTGAAAGAATTTAAAAACATTATCCAAAGGGCAAAGGTCAAATAAAGTTCAAAATTAAAAATATCTCAAAATGTGATATTTGGAGTAAACATGGCTGAGTAATTGCCATACAGGGTTTTCAATATGGCATTATATGGGTTTTCATCATTTGCGTGAACAAGCAGGTGAAGTTTCAGTTTCATTGTTTTTTTAAAAGATGTTTACAGAAGACACTAACAATGACATTGAACATCGAACAAGCAAGATACGACAAAAGGTGAAATGACTTTCAGTCCGGAGAGCTAAACATGTTAACGACATTGGGCCAACTGATTTGGTCACTGTCATCTTTGCCTACCGATGCTAATCCTCAGTGCATTCTCCTTGCCCGAGGCCATCTTGCCAACAGAGGCCAGGATGGCATTCAGCTGGTCCTGGGTTAGAGTGACAGTGTTTGCCATTGGGTGTTCGGTCTTCACAGCATCTGCCTGTCTCTTCTTCTTTTCTGCATAACGTTCCCGGTTCCGTCGAATAAAATCCTTTTCGGGTCGGACTGGATTCTGCGGCTTCTTGTCCGCAGCGACCATGACCTTGTCTGGCTGAGACGTGGTGTTGCTGTCATGACGATACACAAACACATCTTCTTCAAGTGGGCCACCATCATTCGGTTGGGATCTTATTGGGTGGCGCAGTTCTTTGTTCTTGTAGCCAAACTAGCAAAAGCAAGGAAATATATTTTTTTAAATCATGACATTTTCAGAGTTGCAGATGTTATTGAATAACATGAACATTTCTTTCTAAACTAACATTGTTAACCTGCAAAACTGAAACACATAATGAGTGAACGAGTTGGGGTAAACATCCATGTGTCAGGGATTTTTTTACATTTGGGCCTAAAAAATATAGATATAAGTTAAAAGAATTTCAGGATTCAAATCCCATTTAACGTTTTTTAGCCAATCAGATTGCTTACCATGTTTTTTTCTTGTTGTTATGGCTAACTGATTAGATCGAAATAATACATGACTGCAATATTTGTACTGCTACAGTGTCAGAATGTCCGTTCTTCAACAAGTACTACGAGTACAACATATAGAAGAGAATGGTATTATCTCAATGTTTTAAACCAATATTCATGAACTATGTAAGGGACCAACCATTTTTGTTTGTTTTTTTGTTTGTTTGTTTTTTGTTGTTCTTTTTATTATTTTTTTTTTGGGGGGGGGGGGGGATTTCAAATGAGCCTGAGCTTTTTTAAAAGAAAAACACTTAGCAACAAGGTAATATTTGTTGCAACCAATGTCTTTCTTTTTTTAAACAGTCTGATGCATAATAATTTTTTTCAAGAACTTTCGAGGACAATATTTTTGGTTGATCCCAGAATATCAAATGATTGGTCCCTAAACATGCTAAACTTCATCGTAAAACCTTCAAGTTCAAGGTCATGTGTGGTAGTTACCTTTCTGGTATTCTGGGGCTTCTTGCCTGAAAAACAAACAAACTAAATACATGAATCTGGACGATACTGTCAGTCAGGTGACCCTACTTTTTGGACACTGACTTTCAGGATCTTCTGCATACATGGCATGTGCAAAGTGCTTTACCATGTGTACCGTGTACCCGTGAATAGTCCTTCCAAACGTTTCTGAAAGTGGACCATTTCACTGGGAATGGTTCGGTTGAGATTAACAGTTCCCAGTCTCCATGTTTATTATGCAATTGCAATAATTGACCAGAATAATCGTCAAACGACCAATAAGTTATCAGGCAAAGTGTGGGTGAAATTTCATAACGCTCTTAATTTGCATAACGACGACATCAATCACATTGACATATCACGTCATAGTTAATTTGCATACAAATGTAAATAGAACTGATGTCAAACTGTAATGGTATGGCTGTGTTGTCTTGTGTTGTCATGGTGATGGAGCGGGCACCTCACTGAACAGCTGATGATATTGGAGTCGGTGTCTATATATAACAAGTTACAATTTCAATATCTGGCATGCTCTAAATATTGACATTAGAATAACTGATAAAGTTGTCTCCCTCCAACATTGATAGAACCGAAGGTCAAGATTGAATGAGGTCACATGACACATAGTGACATAATCCATTGTTGATGTATGTGTTCAGGTCAGCTGTCGTGTGAACAACAGATCCTCACCATAGGTTTTCTCATGCATGTTGTTAGATTTGTTAAGCACAAATTCCATTATAACAGTACTGCTATTTTCCAGGGCATTGTCATTTGCAGAAGCCCTTGGTCTGCCCAACTGCACTTCATCATCAGTTAATGGCAGATTTAGCAGCTTCTGCAAGTCATACTGCCCTGAAAAGTAGCTATACCTTGATAATAGCAGGTACTGAAGCATGATAAAATTGTTTGTTTGTTGTTTAATGTCGCACTCAGCAATATTCAAGCTATATGACGGCAGTCTGTAAATTATCGAGTCTGGACCAGACAATCCAGTGATTGATATCACCACACAACTGGGATACAATCACATCCATCAACCAAGTCAGCGAGCCTGACCTGATCCCGTAAATCGGCTCTTACGACAAGCATAGTCACCTTTCATGGCAAGCATCAGTTGCTGAAGACCTATTCTACCCAGGATCTTTACGGGTCAGAAGAATGATAAGAAATCACCTAAAACAATCAGCTTTTTTAACTTTCAATGACCATTTCACTATTTGACGGTATTACTAAGAAAATACTGGAACGAGTCCTGTAGTCCTAGCCAAACTGCCCAATAGTATCGTAAGCACTAGTGGAAATCTTGCCATCTTTAATGCTTTTGCTGCATGTTATCATTATAAGGACTAGGGGACTAAAAATGTTAGTTTCTACCACAGAAATATGCTCCAGTATATATATACCAGATTAACTTAATAGTACCATCATAAATACTATCATATCCACTGCTATAAGCTAGGACACTCACCCTGATCCCAGAATATAGCTGGTTTCCCTCCCTCGCCGCCCACCTCGAACCTCATGGCCGACCTGGAACACATGGAACATGGATGTCAGTCTACACACAGACAGTCACGGACAGTCATGGAAGTAGCTCTGCTACAAACTCTTCCAAAGTCACTGTGACATTTGGGATCTATGTCAAATATGGATTTTCTAATGTGACATCTGACAAGGGCATTAAATAGATACTATTACAAACTATTAACATGGTGTTTTTAAGTATTAATATTTCATTTTAGAAGCTGTTGCATCTATGAAGACAGATTTGGCATGTGGAAATCAGCTTCTTTATTCTTTCAACGCAACATTTCGGTACAGGTGTCATTCTTGCAATGTTCCACTGAAAGAACAAAGAAGTTGAAATCCAACGGTCAACTCTGTTACCATGGTTACTGATGGCTCCCCACAGCACTTACTTCCAAGGACTGTTGGTTGAAAGTGATGCACTCCATTTTCTCAGTAAATCTTTCAGTCTCATGTTTACATGGTCAACGATCCCACAAAAAATGATGTTTCTCAAGAATTTCAAGAGAAAAACATCACTAACAGGCAAAAGAAGAAACTTGACTCTTTCATCATGTTAATTCGCCTTCCTGAATGTCACAACACAAGGTGAAAAATACAGGTCGAGATATAATTGATCTGAACAAAAGGGACTACTCGCTGTACAAGAAATAACCCTTGCCGTGCAACGTGAGGTGATAGCCAACAAGATGTTGTCAGTTACCAGTGTTCACAAATGCCTGCACTGGTACAGAAAGCAATTATGATAGTATCAATGATTAAATCTTACAGAGAAATGTGTTATGTGTCAACCACCACGTACAATACATGTGTGATCTTCGTGATAAGCTATAGAATACCTGCTAAAATGCTAAACTACTGATCGGGGAATCTCGCTCACTTCTTATGCGTCCTTCAATGTAAACACATGATCTACTGTAGAGTACTCAATAACGTGACGGAGTTCACCCATATGTTGCTGTTGTTATATGACAACTCATGTTTTCTAACATTACTAGAAACAAAAAATGTAATTGATGATGTGAAGTTAACAAATCAGGTTGAGTTAGTTTGTCGGTTTGTTTAAAGCTGCAGTCAGCAATATTCCAGCTATATGATGGCGGTCTGTTTATAATCAAGTCTGGACCAGACAATCCAGTGATTGACATCATGAGCATCGTTCTACACAATTCGGATACGATGACATGCATCAAGCAAGTCAGCGAGTCTGACCACCCAATCCCGTTTGTCGCCTTTTACCACAATTATGACAAGCATGGTCACCTCTTATGTCAGGCATGGCTTGCTAAGGACCAATTCTAACCCAGATGTTCACAGGTCAGTTTTAGGCTTACATGGCTACCTACTGCAGTGTTCAAAAGTCAGTAGATCCTTGTCAAAACCCTAATGTTAAAAATCAAAGTTTCTTGGGTCTCGAGAACACAATAGCCTAAAACCCCTTCCGCCACCCCACCCCCAAGTCTAGTACATCTCCTGGGATTGTTGAGAATTCTCCTGTGGTATTTGAACCCAGGAACACGTAAAACTGTTAACATCTAACTTCAGGGCCCCTTGACTTTCAGGCTAAATTTCAAACACCGCTAGCAGAACATTTACGGTACACTGGCAATCTGCCCACAACAGCCCCTCAACCGATGGTGTGGTGATAGCTCCATGCAGTAATACAGTAGTATCAGGGGTTGGCACTGACAGCATCTACTCAGTCTACACTATGTGACACCCTGCAGACCTGACTGTAGATCATGGTGATGGGAGGAGCACTTCCACTCAGCTGACAGTTATATGACCATGACACACTAGGAGGAGGAAACACCAGAATACTTCTCCATGATCTGTGGGTTTGTTAGTTTATGGTATTTATTGTCTCTACTTTTAGACTTATTCAGGTCCTCATCATCAAAAACAGGATAGCCTGCTAAGTTCAAATATCAAACATCTGTTACCTGGTTACACAACCAGATTGCATTTACCACATACAGTCAGGTCTCGTTAATCCAATATTCGTTAATCCGACAATCGGCTTAACCGACGCTAATGATGGGAACCGATTACATCAGTGCTATTTAGACCCGTTAATCCGACAGTCTCGCACTCCGACTCCAACACACGTAATTTGCAACGAATTACCGAAATCACTCATTAATCAGTCTCGTTAATCTGACACAGTCATCAGCGTACTCTGTGGTCATCTGCCCGCGAGTACACAGCCCTTGTTTGGATGCGAGACGAATTGGCTGGTAGCTGCATATTACAACGGCTGCAGAGATAAACTTGCTTAAACAATAAACGCTTTAAATAAAAAGAAAACAAGATAAATCACATGCTTAGATTACCTCAATCTTATTAAAATCAGATACAAGTTCTCGCTCTCGACGAGGACATCCAATTACAGGTCACGTCAGAACAACCTTTCGCGAACTATGCCTCCTTAGCCACTTAGAGAGCAGCTTTCTTAAGCTTTAGGTACCAGTTTCAAAGTTGCGACTTCCATTCCAGACTATGCTTTTTATAGTATTTTGAATAAATCATACAGTCCGTAACAGTTGTTTTGTGTTAAACTTTAGAGGTTGCATGATTAGAAAACATATTCCGCCAACAATGTAACATAACAATATGAATATTTTATATTTTTTATTACATGTTTGAATCCTTAAAATCTATCGTGTAGTTGTCCGGTTTTCGATCACGAACGTTGATACAACTTAATTTCGTTTATCTGACATACTTGTTAATCCGCCATAATCATATGCAACCATCGATGTCAGATTAACGGGACTTGACTGTATACAGAAATGTAATGTGCTTTGCTGAAGTGTTTATGATACTGATTATATTGAGTAAGACGAGTGTAACACAACTTGGAACTGTAGTACAGTTACATCAATCAATCCTGATTGCGTGGATCGATGCTCATGATATTTATCACTGGATTGTCTGGTCCAATCATTTACAGACCACCATCATATAGCTGGAATATTGCTGAGTGCGGCGTTAAACAACAAACCAATCAACCAACCAAGTTACATCAGCTTAAGGTAGGAGTAGGTAAGGTGAGGAGAAACAGGGTTTAACGTTGAGTTCAAAATTATTGCACTTATATAGCATGCACGCGTGTGTATGGCTTCTTGTACTAGTCTGGACCAATGCCAATTTTATAGTGCTAGCCCACTGAGATACTACGCTGCAGTTTAACATGAATATCCCACTCAGACACAGTATACTGACTCCGAGCCGACCAGTCCTTGTTTTAAGCCCTAAATACCGAGCGCCGGGCAGAGTAACAATTGTGAACAAGTACTATCTTTTAACATCTTTTGGTATGACGCATCCGGGGACTGAACCCTTAACCTTACAATCTCTAAGCAGAGGCGGTCTACATGGTCTAAGGAAGAGTAAAGCCTAGGGATGTAGTTTAGTGATTTACTACTTTACGGAAACTGAGTGAGTGAGTGAGTGTATGCGTTTGTTTTGTTGTTTACTGCCACAATCAGCACCAGTCCAGCTATGGCCATAATGACTTTGAACAAAACATGACACTGTGTCACTGTCAGTTTGATGTTGGAGAAAAGCCAACGGAGATGCAATCTTAACACATTTACAAAATCGGTGAAACCCACATGAATAGACAAACCTAGAAACATAATCAGATGGAATCTGTGATTTGAACTCATGATCCCTGGTTTCTGGATTCCTAAGGGAAGTAACTCTGAACATGCCTTCGAAACCAACAAGCATCGGAATGCCTTATGGCGTTGACAAACGAAGGATCCTAATCAGGGCAAATCTGGGCTTTGAGCCAATGACCATAGGATCCTGGCACACCCAAGGGATCTAAATCTGCACAGCCGAGGCATCACCTATGAGGGCTTCGCCACCCCTGCCCTGTAGTCAAGTGGGGTCTTATCATTACGTAAAGTTATCTTCAACATATTGTATCATCCCATAACATAATGACTACAATATTCAACATTGCCTGAGGAAGGCAAACTATGGAATAGAGCTCCAGACATATGTGATAATTATCCAAATAAAACAACCATTGGCCAATTAACTTTAAATACACATAAAAATATAAAAACACAATAGTTTAACAAAACTGTGTGTGATTACCTCATGTTGTCTTTTCAACTTGTGTGCCTGTATTTCATTAATTGAATTCAGGCATCACATGTTCATCAACTCTACTGCAGTAAATGCACAAAAGAGCTTAACTTAAGACATGAACATCACTGTTGGGAGCTTTTGTGACATGTGACACACAAGGGCAGCACATGAACAGAGGCAAATTTGAAGTCACCCAAAACAACAGTTAAGCAGGTTCAAGCAGAATTAATTTAATTTTTTGTGTGTCTTGGCTTTAAAACTAACCAATAGACTGGATCAACATGATCAAAGGGAGTAATAATATATTGAATACCCCCAAAAAACTATGAACACCCAAAGTGAATGATAACGTGAATAAATACCAAATGTTATCTGGAACTTTGTGGAATCAATCAAAGTTCAGGTTATCAAGCTTTCACTGCATAGATGACAAAGTTATCTTGTAAAATAGACAAGGTATACCGCATATTATTTGGGCAAAACTCCATGCAAATGGAATTTTCTTCCTTTCGGCTACATCATCAGATACATTACAATGATCACTGTATGGGAAAGCACACTTGCCAAAATGAACACAAACTAGCGCATACCTTCTTTTTCACAAGTGGGAACTGATAAAATGAGCTTTCTTCTTGCTAGTTGTGACAGCCTACTAATAACATGCATAATAGTATTCAGATTTTCATCCTTGCTACCAACCACACTGCTTCACATTTAACTGTCCCCAAGTACTTACAGACGTAGAAATTCACAATGTGTTCCCTTCTTTCTGTTACCACTTCTACCAAATATACATCTTGAGAATCCCATCCACCAACTGTTATAATGAACACAGTTTGTGCATACAGATAAAGATGATGAGATGTACCATGACATATACAAGGGAGCCAAGAACATTTCTGGCCCTTGCCATGATAATTACCCTTCATTCCAACATTATGCCAAATGCCAAACATTGAACAGGTGTTACAATGTTGCAACATATTAATTTATCAATTCCATATGATTATTGGATTTGCCATAGGACATAATGATAAGAGCCAACTAAAGTACATTCTAACATATACACAACTATTATATAGATAACCATGTTAACATTGTGTTCATTTCAATTTGATCTTGCAAACATCTGTCTTATATATTCATGATAATCTAATTATTGCCAATTATTTCAACACAAAATAATAAGATTAATTGTGGTTGATTATGAAGTTGTCCTTAATTGGGGCTTGGTATGGTAGATTTAGATATTTAGTTCACATATATGGTACTTTGATTGTGATGACATATCAGAGCTCCAGATAAGCTTTTGGTGTTGTGGGTATTTTACCCATGCATTTTAAAATCATTGGGTATCAGTAATTCTACCTGCGTATTCAAATTTCTGTTACCCACTAGTTTTTACACATGTGGGTATTTAAGTTAAATATTTAAAAACACTATTCATCTGGTCCCTGCAAACTGGTGTCGTGTGGGTTCGAGAGCTTTATAGGACTCAAAAATACCATGATACTTCCACAAGAAAGTGTGATGGCAAATGATCATGATGTAACTGTCATCGTGGAGTTTGGCAAGGTTGACGGAATGCCCCTTTATAATTTCAAAATAAGTTGTTGATTTGGTAATCGAATACGCAGGGTTACTTCACAATATTTTGATGATACGCACAAGTTTTATTTTTGTAGCATATCTGTAATGTTCGTTGTGTATTTGATACGCTTGGATTATATTTTACTGTGTATGTCTGCATTTCTGATGCGTATTTCACGCAGATACGCAGCTTATCTGGAGCTCTGCATATGTTATTATGAGGAAGTTTATATCGTTGGCTTACAATCCTTGATTGGCAAGAGGGAAAACTGTGCAGATTTTGATACTTGAACTAAGACTTTATCATGTTTTGAGCTTATAACCCTATCATAACATATTAGGCCTAAATGGTTAATGTTGAAGTTGTCATCCGTGACTTCATTATAATGTCGCAGTTCATTGGTGTATTGATAGAATGATTATTGTAAAAATATGAGGAACGACTAAATTTGAAATCGAAAAGCATGGCAACTGTCACTTGATGAAAACATGCTCAGACGGGCCAACGTTTATTGCACCAAACCCACCTGACTTGAAAGCAACAGACTTGACACGACTGGAACTATGATTGTGGAGTACACTTCTCCGCTTACCCAAAGCTCATGATGTCACAACTATTCCGTTGTCATCAGCAACAGCATCTCGATCAATAAAATAGACAAGATAAAGTTTACCGTCGTCAACAACTATTTTCTTGATCATGCGTAAAGGCGCTTCCGGTTCCAAGGGAGGTAATCAAACCAGCGAAGCAATTTGTATTTCCTGATCGCAACTTTTGAGTTCGAATCGCAGTTACACGTCAGGTTGTTTTTTTGTTTAATCTATTTGTAGGCTGTTGCTTCTCTAATATAGGATGTTTTACAACAGCAGTATAATGCAGAAATACATAGAAATATATGTTTTCAATGTTAAACATACACAGTCTATTGTCAGCAATATCAAAACCTATATTAGGGTGGCCTATTGTCAGCAATATTATAGCTACATGTATTCCACAGTGGTCTGTTGACATCAGTGTTATAGCTACATGTATTCCACAGTGGAATGTTGTCATCAGTATTATAGCTACATATATTCCATACTGACCTATTGTCAGCAATATTATAGCTACATGTATTCCACAGTGGAATGTTGTCACCAATATAATAGCTACACATATTCCACAGTGGTCTGTTGTCATCAGTATTATAGCTACATATATTCCATACTGACCTATTGTCAGCAATATTATAGCTACATGTATTCCACAGTGGAATGTTGTCACCAATATAATAGCTACACATATTCCACAGTGGTCTGTTGTCAGCAATAATATAGCTACATGTATTCCACAGTGGTCTGTTGACATCAGTATTATAGCTACATGTATTTTATACTGACCTATTGTCAGCAATATTATAGCTACATGTATTACACAGTGGTCTGTTGTCATCAGTATTATAGCTACATGTATTCCACAGTGGAATGTTGTCACCAATATTATAGCTACTCATATTCCACAGTGGCCTGTTGTCAGCAATATTATAGCTACACATATTCCACAGTGGCCTGTTGTCAGCAATATTATAGCTACACATATTCCACAGTGGCCTGTTGTCAGCAATATTATAGCTACACATATTCCACAGTGGCCTGTTGTCAGCAATATTATAGCTACACATATTCCACAGTGGCCTGTTGTCAGCAATATTATAGCTACACATATTCCACAGTGGAATGTTGTCATCAGTATTATAGCTACATATATTCCATACTGACCTATTGTCAGCAATATTATAGCTACATGTATTCCACAGTGGAATGTTGTCACCAATATAATAGCTACACATATTCCACAGTGGTCTGTTGTCAGCAATAATATAGCTACATGTATTCCACAGTGGTCTGTTGACATCAGTATTATAGCTACATGTATTTTATACTGACCTATTGTCAGCAATATTATAGCTACATGTATTACACAGTGGTCTGTTGTCATCAGTATTATAGCTACATGTATTCCACAGTGGAATGTTGTCACCAATATTATAGCTACTCATATTCCACAGTGGCCTGTTGTCAGCAATATTATAGCTACACATATTCCACAGTGGCCTGTTGTCAGCAATATTATAGCTACACATATTCCACAGTGGCCTGTTGTCAGCAATATTATAGCTACACATATTCCACAGTGGCCTGTTGTCAGCAATATTATAGCTACACATATTCCACAGTGGAATGTTGTCATCAGTATTATAGCTACATATATTCCATACTGACCTGTTGTCAGCAATATTATAGCTACATGTATTCCACAGTGGAATGTTGTCACCAGTATAATAGCTACACGTATTCCACAGTGGAATGTTGTCATCAGTATCATAGCTACATGTATTCCACAGTGGCCCGTTGTCAGCAATATTATAGCTACATGTATTCCACAGTGGCCCGTTGTCAGCAATATTATAACTTCATGTATTCCACAGTGGCCCGTTGTCAGCAATATTATAGCTACACATATTCCACAGTGGCCTGTTGTCAGCAATATTATAGCTACACATATTCCACAGTGGTCTGTTGTCAGCAATATTATAGCTACATGTATTCCACAGTGGAATGTTGTCAGCAATATTATAGCTCCATGTATTCCACAGTGGTCTGTTGTCAGCAATACTATAGCTATACATATTCCACAGTGGCACTGAATATCAGAACAAAGCTATTCAATACGAATCTCCAAAAAGGTGTTTTTTTGTGACTGGGAGACCTGGAAAGTCCCACTGATCTTCCATGCCAACTAATATTACCACTACTATGATCACAGGCAGTTTGCAAAAGAAAAGCAACAAAGTTCCAAGGTTCCAATAATCTCTTTAATGTGTCACGTCTAGATCAACGTCATAACGCCGTGAGTATTGATGATGTACAGGCAATACACTACAGACATTTGGGAAAACAATGTTCAAGACTTTGGTATTATTCTCATTAATTGTTACTATTAGAAAACAATACCATTCAACACAGACATTTAATAGAAATACCATATCATTTAATAATATATACATAAACAAAGTCATACAGGATATTCATTGCACTTAACATTCTTCACCCACATGTGCCACTCATGAATTAATACATGGAAAAGAGATATCTTTCCTGTTGTAGTTTCCATACATTGCAGTGTAATGCGTCTGCACATGAGTGTGTGTGCATTTGTTTGTTGTTTAATATAACACTCAGCAATATTCCAGCTATTTGAATGGCAACCTGTAAATAATCAAGTCTGGACCAGACAATCCAGTGATTGATACTATAAACAACGATCATGCCGTTGGGGAAAGTTGATTCACCATCAACCGAGTCGCCTCTTACGGCCAGCATAGATTACTAGAGACCTATTGTAACCTGGAAGTCCTACATGGCTTTGGGTGAGTGAGTGAGTGAGTTGGGTTTAACTCCGCTTTTAACAGTATTCCAGTTATAATAGCGTGTCAGCTTAATGTGGGAGGAAAGCCCGAAGTGATGCAGGTCTCAGACGTTTACCACTTTGGTGAAACCCACGGGTATGGTGCTGACAAACCTAGAAACATGATCGGGGTGAACAGGAATTCGAATCCACAATCATAGGTTTCTGGCGTGCCCAAGGGACACAACTCTGCACAGCGAATTGTGGCGCCTTAGTCGACTGGGCACCCATGCCCCCACATGACTTTGGTGTGATGAGGTATTCAGACCTATAGCCTTGTGAAAGTGGAAAAGGATGTCTTCAACATACAACAAAACTTGGAAACGTTGTATGCCCACCAAAACTCTGATGTGGTACCTGCACAGTGTTTGAAATAATTATAAAACCCAACAAGACAGTCGGGTAGGTGACCCATAATGTTGCCTGCTCATCTTCAAAGTTTATAGCTGTTTATATGCTCATCTTCAAAGTTACCTGCTCGCATTCAGGCATAATGAATACTGAAAAATTGTGAAAAACAAGAGGCAAATTACCTCTTGATTCAGTTGATTATAGTTCAGAATTACAATAAAACTGAAAATGTAAGTCGTCTAAACAGAATAGAGCACAATATAATAAGCCAATCACAATAGAGCTCAATCTAACCAGCCAATCAGAATATAGAACCATCTAGTCAGCCAATCAGAATAGAGCACAATCAAACCAGCAAAAACAGAAAGGAGCACAATCTAACCAGCCAATCAGAATAGAGAACAATCTAACCAGCCAATCAGAATAGAGTTCAATCTAACCAGCCAATTACTAAAGATATTAACATGTTATGGATATTATGCTCTACTTTCATGTTTGATACTAGCACAGCTCAACACTGTACAAGGTGTGACATAGCTGGGAGGGCATATTATGAAAATCAAACTTATTATCTAACTAACACAAGTACCAAAAAGAATGAAAAAATACTTTGATGGCTTATGCAACAAAACACATCTAGGAAATAAAACATTTCACACTATTTATGAAAGTAATTTAGATATGACATATTCCAGTATGCATTTGTATCGTTTAAAAGTTACTCAATGCTCAAAGTTTTTATGATGAACAATTTCACTGTACATAAAATACAGCATTTAGAAAAAAAGAATGGCCTTTAAACTTAACGTGAATGACATCAATTACTTTGCTAAAAGTAAGACATGTTTGAAGTATAGGATAAAACTTAAAATTGTAAAACTGCCAGTGAGAGAAAAACCTGAGGGCTATTCCTGAACTCAAGGTATTACATTTTCAACCTAAACCTCGGAGGCTTGTTTTATCCAACTTTTGAACCGTCTAAATGCAAGAAATACAAGAAACAATAAGAAAACATTGATATACCTTATCGTGAAACAATACAAAAGCATTTTCGATAAAAGTGAGTCAGAGAAAAACCTTGTGCAGCATGGACCACTTGGAGTCATGACATGTAAAACAGAACACACTTTTATCATCTGCCCCAGTGGCTCCATGGGAAAACAGTTGATTACAAAACTTGACACGATATGTGAGGTTGCAGGTTTGATTTATGTGATGGCATTTTCATTTTTAAAAAACTGTGACTTTTAACCAATCAAAATTAAATATTGTGTTCATAACAAGAGGCCAGTTTATAAAACATCAATTGTAAAACATAGGTTTTACAATTAAAATGTAAAACCTCAAAGTAGGTTTAAAAGTGGCCCTTCTATAAACCTAGGTTTGAGAGATGAGGTGGTTGCTAGGTTTACCTGAGGTTGTCAGGAACGTGGTGCAATATAAGGTGACATAGTGATAGATGTATAAATCGTCAGACAAAATGGCGCTTTCTGTATCACGTCGGACTTACATTGTTGAGTGATGTGGTTTCTACATTCCAATGAGAGATAACACCCACAATAATACAGCTAGTATAAATGATGGAATGCTATTTCAAAGCTGGGCCACAGATTGAGGGTGATCCTGACCAAACCAGATCATCAAACAGCCAGTCCAGCCTTATTGCCTATATACAGCCAAGTGATCCTTTAACAAACAGCAAATACTTGATCAGACATCTAACTAATATGGATAGTAGCAAAACCACAGCAAAGTAAACACACACAAAGTAAATAAAATATAAAAGTATCAAACTAACATCAGTGAACAATCAGCACCAAAAGATTATCCTACAAATCGGAGATAATAAAAATCAAACGAAAAAAAAGCATAGGAATAAATCTCCAGTATCAATAGATTTGCAAGGCTAAGTGTATGTAACATGGCACTCTATCCGATCTACTGTAACTATACACTTCAGCTGCAGATTGTAAGGCACACTAAGTACAGAGTATTTCAGAATCTGGATATGCAATGCAAAACACAATCCTCTCTTTCAGGGCATAAAGGAAGTACATGTATACATATTGATAAAAATAAAATAAATATCACAAAATACATGTCATACAAAAAGTCTTAACAGCATTTATTCAGAACCTTCTTTTAAATGTGTGCTTCTCTCAAGAGCTGACTTATTTCAACTGTGAACCCTCTGACAAACTAAAGGTATTTCCTTTCAATTACTTTCAAAAATGGAATTGAAGAAATTTTAAAACACACTTGTCGGTGAGAAAAAAGGCCACCTTGACAATTTCTTTTATTTGTTGTCTGTTGTCAGCAACATTATAGCTACATGTATTCCACAGTGGCCTGTTGTCAGCAACATTATAGCTATACATATTCCACAGTGGCACTGAATATCAGAACAATGTTGAAATCTTGCATAAAAAAATCTAAAAACCAAGTGATGAAATAAAGAAACACCTATGTGTGACAATCTACTAATTCTGGGGCTGGTCGTTAAGTACAGAGGTTTGGATCAGACATTAATGACATGAAGTACAGAGGTTTGGATCAGACATAAATGACATGAAGAACAGAGGTTTGGATCAGACATTAATGACATGAAGTACAGAGGTTTGGATCAGACATAAATGACATGAAGTACAGAGGTTTGGATCAGACATTAATGACATGAAGTACAGAGGTTTGGATCAGACATAAATAACATGAAGTACAGAGGTTTGGATCAGACATTAATGACATGAAGTACAGAGGTTTGGATCAGACATAAATGACATGAAGTACAGAGGTTTGGATCAGACATTAATGACATGAAGTACAGAGGTTTGGATCAGACATAAATGACATGAAGTACAGAGGTTTGGATCAGACATTAATGACATGAAGTACAGAGGTCTGGATCAGACATAAATGACATGAAGTACAGAGGTTTGGATCAGACATAAATGCCATGAAGTACAGAGGTTTGGATCAGTGATTAATGACATGAAGTACAGAGGTGTGGATCAGACATTTAAAGATATGCTGTGAATCAGAATGGTCAACAGATTTCACCAGTGATTTTGTTTGCTGTTGATGTTTTTGTTGAAAAGATCATTAGCAATTGTTTTGTGATGGGCATGACAACAATACATGTAAAACAACATAGTATATCAAAATGTGTTAAAGCTCTATATTCATCAACATTGATGTAACATCTTCCTCAGGCAAGGGAGTTAACTGACTGTAAAAGTCCAGTTTCCATCCTTGCCAAACTAGCCTGGAATTATGGAGTTACATTTTGGCTAGACTAACAAGTCTATACATAGTCCAATCAAAATCTTGTAATGAAATCAACATCTAGTTAAATAGCATGGCAACTGCCATACCGAATTCATTTGATTGCAGGATTTGCAGAGCAAGTGTAACATTAACCGGGCATCGACACAAGTTTTCAAGATCTTTTCATGTTTTTAATCAACTGTTATCAAGTGATTAAATGCACTTTGCAAGGTAAAACACTGTTTTAATTACAAAAAGATATTTATTATTGATGAGATCGTCTTGACTGGGCGCTGCCATTTTGTTAGAAGGAAATGCAAGCACTATGAGAGGAGGAATCTGATTGGTTGGTTGGGAAACACAGATGGAACATAACTCGTATTAGCCATTGGTGGCACTACAATCGAGCCAAGAAATTCCAGCCTAGTTCGGCAAGGGTGATAACTGGACTTTTAAAGTCAGTTAACTCCCTTGCCTCAGGAAGATGGGATGTAATGGCAACTGTGTAATATTTGGTAATCTAGCAAAACATAAATAAATATACCAACAAGATGAGGCAATCAGCATATCTCACATCTTCTGCACATAAACTCCATCCTCGATTATCAGCTGTAAAACACATGTATCACCATTCTATTACAATAAATACCATGCACACATTCACCTCCAGAGCTTTGTCTTGAGTCTGGTTTGAATGATAAGGTGCTAGAAAAGTCAAAATGAATTCCACTGTTCTTTCATGAACGACATTATCACCAGTTCTTGACAAAGTTTTGCATTCCGTCTCAAATACAATAAGAGCATCTTATAGCATAAGGACTCCCCACCTTCGTCCAGCTGAGTCAGTTAATATATCGAGGGCTCTATCGGACAAGAACTGCAATTTTGAAGGTAGAGTAATGACAAACGTGAAATGTTGACATCCTCCAAGAAGAAAAACACCATCCTATAGTTATATATCATTGCATGAATGTTATTATTACACACCCCATTAGGAGAACAATACCATGGTGGCCCAACACCAAAAGACCTAAGAAGGTTGTTAAAATGGCATAATCTTTCTTGTATTTCAGAAAGTTTTACCTAAAAGGGAGATGCTGTTCCTTTTCAGATTTTAAATATGACGATAATAGCTGTATAATTATTGCCTTGAACTGTGAAAACAGTGAAATGTTGATCAAAACACACAGACCTGGCGACTTTCCACTCACAAAGATTCATCCATCATCAAACTTCCAAACAGCTCCCTGCTATAGCAACTGTATCCATGCAATGCTTTGCCCATCAAAAAGATATGTAACCATGACAACTACCCACTGCCAGGCCTACCAAATAATTTCATGGATGAATCGAAAATGAGCAAAGTGTTCCCGAAAAGTTAGAACTTTGTACACAGAAACAATGAAACATATCATGATCTGTCAATGAACACGATCACCTTCATGCTGCCGAAATACAGGTCAGCACTTCACAGAATTGTTACAATCATGTTGTTTATGCAACATCACATGAATTATAGTCAATTACCGTGAGACTTCATATTGTCCAGGTTAATTCTATCCACACTGTCATCTCAAATTGTTCCCCCAAATGCAAATGTCTAAAAAAGTATTTGAATCACAACAAATAAACTTGTTCAATTGTTTTAACTGACAACTGTTTGAAAACAATGTTGAACATTCCCAACTCTAAACTTATAATAAATACAACTGTTAGTCATACATCAGTGGATAGGGCTTACTGTCATATCATACCGGAGCTTTAGGGCAGAACCATACAAACATACGTTCCAGATAATACAGTACTACCAAGGCTGTAGTTAACTCTTTTTGACAGGGGGGGCAAATATTTGTACAAGTATCACTTGTCCCCAACTTGTATTTTCATGATGCAAATAAAACTGTTTTCTATAAAAAAATACAGGGGGGGCAACTGTTCCCCCTGCCCCCCCCCCCCCCCCCCCGGCTGGCTACGGCACTGACTACTTTAAATGGCTTCCTTAAATCTGTAAGTATGCATATCACATTTGAAGAACGAAGATAGATTTACACATATAGTCTTGGTCATGTTGAATCTCTGTGTGTAGCAGCCATAAACTGTACGAGTCCGGTAATGGGATCAGAACAATGACCTTCTGATCTGAAGTCAGATGTATTTGCCCAGATGACCAAAGATGTTAACCCCATCAGCAAGCTGACTAGGTAAGGATATCATCACGGTAAGGATGTCATCACGGTAAGGATGTCATCACGGTAAGGATGTCATCAAGGTAAGGATGTCATCACGGTAAGGATGTCACGGTAAGGATGTCATCACGGTAAGGATGTCATCACGGTAAGGATGTGACGTCTGCTGCATGTGCGTGGCACCATGCTGGAGTCATCATGTACAGAACCTAGTTGTGTTGGAAGTTTACTGTTCTGTGTCTTGAAGGCATCGTAGTTACAACAGATCTGGAACACAAAAACACAGCAGTTCGAAGTAGCGTTTCCAGAGGATGCCAAAAAACAGTCAATTATGTCACATTTCAGTATTTTTAAAAGATATTAGTCAGAATAAACACACATATCTCTTTACAAAACTGGAGTTAGGGTCTTGATCCCATGCTGTAGGGAGGCATCCCTCCATTATATTCGAGGTGCATCATTTGATCAAATTTCAAGCATTAAAACTTGCAGGACCTATAACGACCGGGCCTCCTGGGACCCGCCATGCAATCACGAAGACTACTGCAAGAACAATACATGCAAGAAACATGGGAGGACCTTTCTGGAGCCATTAGGAATCAAGGACAAGCCATGCAGTCCCATGCAGTCCCATGCAAGGACCATTCATGATGAAAATACTGTAAAGGGCCCACACAAGAACATTCCTGAAAGGACAATGCAAGAACCATGCACTGGAAATGCATGTAAGAACTACAAAAGGAATAATGTTTGTAAGAACTACACGAAGAAAAACGCATGTAAGATCTATACAAATGAAATACATGTAAGAACTACACAAGGTCAATACATGTAAGAACTACACAAGGTCAATGCATGAAAGAACTACACAAGGTCAATGCATGCTGGAACTATACAAGGTCAATGCATGCTGGAACTATACAAGGTCAATGCATGCTGGAACTATACAAGGTCAATGCATGAAAGAACTACACAAGGTCAATGCATGCTGGAACTATACAAGGTCAATGTATGCTGGAACTATACAAGGCCAATGCATGAAAGAACTACACAAGGCCAATGCATGCTGGAACTATACAAGGGCAATGTATGCTGGAACTATACAAGGTCAATGTATGCTGGAACTATACAAGGCCAATGCATGAAAGAACTACACAAGGTCAATGCATGCTGGAACTATACAAGGGCAATGTATGCTGGAACTATACAAGGCCAATGCATGAAAGAACTACACAAGGCCAACGCATGCTGGAACTATACAAGGTCAATGTATGCTGGAACTATACAAGGCCAATGCATGAAAGAACTACACAAGGCCAATGCATTGAAGAAATATGCAAGGCCAATGCATGCTTGAACTATACAAGGCCAATGCATGAAAGAACTACACAAGGTCAATGCATGCTGGAACTATACAAGGGCAATGTATGCTGGAACTATACAAGGCCAATGCATGAAAGAACTACACAAGGCCAATGCATGCTGGAACTATACAAGGCCAATGCATGCTGGAACTACACAAGGTCAATGCATGAAAGAACTACACAAGGCCAATGCATTGAAGAAATATGCAAGGCCAATGCATGCTTGAACTATACAAGGCCAATGCATGAAAGAACTACACAAGGTCAATGCATTGAAGAAATATACAAGGCCAATGCATGCTGGAACTACACAAGGTCAATGCATGAAAGAACTACACAAGGCCAATGCATTGAAGAAATATGCAAGGCCAATGCATGCTTGAACTATACAAGGCCAATGCATGAAAGAACTACACAAGGTCAATGCATGCTTGAACTATACAAGGCCAATGCATGAAAGAACTATACAAGGTCAATGCATGAAAGAACTACACAAGGCCAACACATGAAAGAACTACCGTATTTTCTTGAGTATAGTGCGCACCCATGTATAATGCGCACCCCCCTCTAGCGGGTTCAATATTTTTGAAAAAAAGAAATTTGAATATTATGCGCAGAAAAAATTTACACCGTACCCTTTCAGCGAAGTCCGGCAAACGAACGGGTGCTGAGAAACTTCGGAAATACAAATTCGAAATTTGAGATAAAAAATCACCAGACATGTTTATTTACCGTTTAAATAGTATTTATTGTTCTGCTAGGCATTGTTTTATATCTAGGGATTAAGACTACCTTGTGTATTTTCTCGTAAACTAAGCCGGAAACAGCAATCAGCTGTACACACGTTTTCTTGGAATCGACCGGTGATTCGGTCAAGACACACACAATGATATAACTTTAAAGGATTTTTAATGCAAGGATCGGCAACAATTGTATCTGAAACTATTTTTTTATCAGGAATAATATATTCCATTATTTTCTTAATTATATGCAGCCTTTACTAAACATATTTAAAATAATAATAACCCTAAGCGAAGCAGCTGATCGCTATTGCCGGGTATTATTTTTTACATGGAACCAGTCTGACAAGTCACCGTCAAGGCTCACACGCAGGTGATCGCGTGATCGCGAGAATTTCATGTTGACATAGAATCGTCAAACAAAAACAAATATGACTTTTAACGAGTCAAAGTATGTCATTTATGATATATGTATCCATTCTCTGTCAACTAAAGTTCGTTTCAAGGCGTCAATAGCGGTATTCTGACCGTGGTTGCTGTTAATACCGGTGAGTTGTGCGATCTTCCAATCGATTCACACACGATTTCGCCGAAATTAATAAAAACAATATTATAAGGAATTTTGAATAAAATTAATGAAATAAGTTACAAACATAAGTCCAGATATACAAAGAACACTTTTTATAGCCAGACAGTGTAATTACATGATTATTTTGCGTACTTCAGTATGGATTTGTTGACATGGTATTTCCGGTGTTTCGTGCTCACGGTAATGTCTTTCCATGGGGGAAAAAAACATCCAAACTCATAATCCGTGTATAATGCGCACCCCCTTCTACACAGCTGTGTTTTTTCGAAAAAAAGTGTGCACTATACTCAAGAAAATACGGTACACAAGACCAATGCATGAAAGAACTACACAAAGCCAATGCATGAAAGAACTACACAAAGCCAACACATGCAAGAACTTCACAAAGCCAACACATGCAAGAATATACAAGGCCAAGGCAATGCCAATGCAAGGACCATGCAAGGACCAGACTTAGCCCTTGGGATGAGGAAACATTCTGCTAAATCTATGTGTTTAATGAGTCAAAAAGATGGAGGAGAGAAGCAAGAAAATATCAGTCCATGAATGAACAAATGTTGTCAAGTAAGGGGTCCTGTTCCCAACAATGCAATCAAGTTAGTAAGTAGCCAGGGGTTACAAACCTTCTGCCCATCTACCGTGAACCAATCCACCACCAGATGCACACTGAACAGATACTCTCACTTACATTGGTCATCAAACACCAACCTATCTTTCTGAATATTGATCTGAGACGGTAGTGCAACAGGCTTCCGGTCTCTCGAGAACTTGTCGATGAAGGAGTTCTGATGTGCCTCTCGGTCAGCTTCCAGTCGCTCAAACCTCTGAAGCCGCTGTTCTTCTCGCTGTTTCTCTGGACAACAGAAAATATAGCATCTGTAAAATCATATCAAGTATTGCATTTATCAACAGAAGTTGCCAAAACAATAAAAATACATCTTCCCGAGGCAACTGGTTGAAACTGGACTTTTATAGTCAGTTAACTCCTTTGCCTCAGGAATATGCAAAAAATATGATCTGAATCAGCAATAAAAACAATGTCCAAACATTTTCATGAATCTGTTTCTTCAGGAGAAATAACTTTTGAAAATGTTTAACTACTCATAAAAAATTATCATCTTTATTGAAACATGACAATGAATGTGAAACCCTGAAATTTGCTGTGATTAACAAATTTCTGTATTATGAATTATTGTTATGAAATGATGTCCCTTTGTATGTAAGTAACTATTCTCAAGCGTTGCCATCGGGAAGGCAGGGTCTCTGACAGTGTCGAGAATAACAAGATTTTGATCACCATTTTCACATTAATCCTCTCCTTGTGTTACATTAACAACATTGCCAAAATATCACAGCCAATCAAAACACAAGGACTGACCGAGCTCTGCCAGCCACTTGGATCTCTCCTGCATCTTCAGCAGCACCTTGTTCTCATCCTCCATCACCTGCAGGGAATAACACAACTTATAATATGCATCACCTGTGTGGAATAACACAACATATAACATGCATCACCTGTCGGGAATAACACAACTTATAACATGCATCACCTGTCGGGAATAACACTACTTATAACATGCATCACCTGCAGGAAATAACACAACTTATAACATGCATCACCTGGGGGGGGAATAACACAACATATAACAGGCATCACCTGCGGGGAATAACACAACATATAACATGCATCACCTGTGGTGAATAACACAACTTATAACATGCATCACCTGTGGGGAATAACACAACTTATAACATGCATCACCTGTGGGGAATAACACAACACATAACATGGATCACCTGGGGGGAATAACACTACTTATGACATGCATCACCTGTGGGCAATAACACAACATATAACATGCATCACCTGCGGGGAATAACACAACATATAACATGCATCACCTGTGGGGAATAACACAACTTATAACATGCATCACCTGTGGGGAATAACACAACTTATAACATGCATCACCTGTGGGGAATAACACAACACATAACATGGATCACCTGGGGGGAATAACACTACTTATAACATGCATCACCTGTGGGGAATAACACAACTTATAACATGCATCATCTGTGGGCAATAACACAACATATAACATGCATCACCTGCGGGGAATAACACAACTTATAACATGCATCACCTGGGGGGGGGGAAATAACACAACATATAACATGCATCACCTGCGGGGAATAACACAACATATAACATGCATCACCTGTGGTGAATAACACAACTTATAACATGCATCACCTGTGGGGAATAACACAACTTGTAACATGCATCACCTGTGGGCAATAACACAACATATAACATGCATCACCTGCGGGGAATACCACAACATATAACATGCAGCATCTGTGGGGAATAACACAACTTATAACATGCATCACCTGTGGGCAATAACACAACATATAACATGCATCACCTGCAAGGAATAACACAACATATAACATGCAGCACCTGTGGGGAATAACACAACTTATAACATGCATCACCTGTGGGCAATAACACAACATATAACATGCATCACCTGTGGGCAATAACACAACTTATAACATGCATCACCTGGGGCATGTGGGGGGGGGGGGAGAAATAACACAACATATAACATGCATCACCTGCGGGGAATAACACAACTTATAACATGCATCACCTGGGGGGGGGGGGGAATAACACAACATATAACATGCATCACCTGCGGGGAATAACACAACATATAACATGCATCACCTGTGGTGAATAACACAACTTAAAACATGCATCACCTGTGGGGAATAACACAACTTATAACATGCATCACCTGTGGGCAATAACACAACATATAACATGCATCACCTGCGGGGAATACCACAACATATAACATGCAGCACCTGTGGGGAATAACACAACTTATAACATGCATCACCTGTGGGCAATAACACAACATATAACATGCATCACCTGCGGGGAATAACACAACATATAACATGCATCACCTAGGGGGGAATAACACAACATATAACAGTCATCTCTTGCAGAAAACAATACAACTTACAACATACTTTGATTGGGAAGCGGCGTTGAAGAAAATCTAATACCACATTTTCTTGTGTCTTGTTCTTGTGTCGGGAAATACTTTCGGGAATAATGCTATTCCATATATAATGCACAGTCAAAAACTACATCAAATTGCTTGGGGTATATAAAAATAAAATTATTCAGGCCTTAACGTAATAGCATGTCTGTATCATGCGAGTAGCATGGACTCAAGCAACCACAAGGTGTTCAACACCAGAGACATGGTTCACACTGGTCAGGACTATACACCACTATCAGACAAACACTTGGACCTGGATGTCCTCTCCAGACCTACACTGACAGCATAAGGTCAAGTCAATAAAACTGAAAGGCAACAGCATTCACTCACTGGATAATCTGTAAGGATGCTACCGGCTCGACTCACGGAATGCCTCGTCTTGTTTCTACTCCGACGACCCCAGGGGTCATAGCAGGATTCAAACTCCGCTGGTACAAAAAACAAAAACTATTAGGCTACAAAAATGTTTTTCGGGAAACACAAAATGTTTTGGAGCCGATTAGGAAAACAGAGATTAACTATAGTCCATTGAAAAAAATTGTGTGTTCTTTAACTTCTTTTGAGTAATATATTTTCCAGGGAAATAGTTTTACCAAAACAGGGATCCCATGATGCATCACTGAGTCATGATTCATACCTGTCATGAATGCATCACATAAATATGTAATCCATGAATCACTATAAAAGGTTAGACATCGGAAGTAATAAGATTTGTTTTCAATTGTTTTTTGTTTAGATCCAGTAAGGTAACCATGACAACTGGTTAACCAACCTCTCTCCCGTGCCCATTGCGGTTTCTTCTTCTCAGCCACCGTGAGATGTTGTTGTGGCACAAGGGGAGGTAAGTCAATGCTGAAGGAGGGGTCACTCCAATTAGACGTGGACACTGTCGCGGAAGGGATCGTAGCCCGCTTGACTGATTCCGTTGGATGTGGAGCAGAGGACTTGCTGTAAGTTTAGAGAAACTGCTGTACTGACAACACAGCGTACAGCAAGATTCACAAATCACAAAAGCATACTTTTATTCATGTTTTAGACAACCACAACTTTATATATCACATGAAGTGTCTCTTATGTATGAATTCTTATAAATATTTCCTACTGAAACTTATCGTTGATATCATCACATGTCTTAGTAACTTGATACTACTGTGACATTAAACTATTCTCAAAAACAATAAGATTTCCTTAACCTTAGCACCTGATTTGTTTGTTTGTTTGTTTGTTTGTTTGTTTGTTGTTTAACGTCGTACTCAGCAATATTCAAACTATATGACGGCGGTCTGTAAATAATCGAGTCTGAACCAGACAATCCAGTGATTGACATCATGAGCATCGATCCACGCATTTGGGATATTATGACATGCATCAACCAAGTCAGCGAGCCTGACCACCCGATCCTGTTAGTCGCCACTGGTCAAGATTTGATTATTTACTTACGCTGTCATATAGCTGGAATATTGCTGCTTGCGGCGTTATGTAACAAACAAACCAAACTTCATGAGGGACAGATAATCCATAATTCTGTGCAGTGAATTATTCCACATTAGTCTAAATATGATCCACAGTCTTTTCTCCTGTGAGAATGTAGATAAACATGTGTTTAATGAAACCATGACGACACATCAGCTAAGACAATCTACTGCTGTACTGATGAAACATAAAACTGTGATGTCATGAACAATGGATGACGTCATACATAAGTATTTGAAACAATGCATTGACATGACGACACACAGCTACTGTCCACTGCACAGGAAATGAAACACTGGACCAGCTGACATGATAAAGCCAATCAGTAGGAGGTAATAATGAAAGTTTTCATAGAGAATTACTGAAAACCATTGCATCGTTGCTTCCTTTGGGTTTAATTTGAGTGAGTGAATGAGTATAGTTTTACGCCGCTTTTTGCAATATTCCAGCAATATCACGGCAGGGGACACCAGAAATGGGCTTCACACATCGTACCCATGTCGGGAATCGAACCCGGGTCTTTGGCGAGACGAGCCAACGCTTTAACCACTAGGCTACCCGACTGCCACGGTTTAGAGAAATAATACACTGGATAATCCTTACTGTCCAACTGACAGCGCTCAAGGTCAATGAGGGGTGTGTCTTTTTGTCAGCGTAAATTTTAAACTAAATATAGAAATGGTGACAGTGACAGTGGTCAGACACCGCCCCTCTGGAAGTCGAACTCCGCCACAACAAGAAACTGCAGAACTGAACATGCATGAACACTTAGCTATGCTATTTTATGGCATTCTGTCTTACAACAAATAACAAATAAATTCAAAATAAAAAGGAATACAAACAATGATATTAAACACTGATCATCAAATATATAAAGGTAGATCTATAAAGAAAGTGTTACACCCCCGTACCAGATTAACAACATCTAACAAAAGACACATAAATGAAAAACATACGAAAATAACACATCATTTCAAAACTTGTTATTTATGATATTCCTTTATGTTAAGTTTTATATTGATGTCCCACACAAAATTATTCAACACTGTAGTCATCTGAATTAATAAATGATATCTAATTGTGTGCAGAGTAATGTCCCTTTGTACATGATTAATACAAAAAGTGATCCACTAAATGTAAAACCTTCCAAGGCAAGTTTTGCACTTTTTCGAGCTAAAAGTCAGACCCCACATAATGCTTCCAAACAATAGCTCCATTTCTTCATCCGAATACACAATTAAAATATTCAAGTCCAAACAACAGAAATTATTTATCTTTTAAGGCTAAAAAAATAATAGTCTTGGTTCTCAGGCACTGCCCGCATCATCATAAAGTTTGCCACATGTTTCGTTTTTATTTCGATTTAAAAAATAAATAAAAAATTCTTAAATATTCCAAGTCCAACAGTAGTCAAACACTATATTCCAGTATTTTACTCATCAAGGAATACATTTATGTAGGGAGGCCCTTTCCCAGGTTGATTGTACACAATTGTTTATTGATTACACAACTGTTTATTCGGTTACATACTAATTTGAACAACAACAAATAAAAGACAACGCCCACCCGCACTATATTTTAAAAAGACATTGCCTGAGGACCAATTCTTTTATTTTTTTAAGCCTAAGTTAAGGACTCAGTTTTTGCAACAAGATGTCATTATAAGTGAAAAACATAATCATGATAATTGTAATATCGATTTAACAAAGCTGCTCACCTATGACGCAATCTATGTCCAAGTGTTGACCCTATTTGTCAATTCTCAAGAAATACACAAGTACAATACTTAACAGGGGTCGGGATATGGGGACGTTGGGTACCTGTCATTGCTGCCAGTCACATCATCAGCTGTGTCTACAACAGCTACAGTAGTTCCGCGTGGACCTGCTAGGTGGCGCTGCTGTCGGAGGAAGACATGGATAAGCACATAACGACTTGCCACAAACAACACAAACCAATGCTTCTGTCCTGTCTACCACGTTTCACACAGTGTTCCATTATCATTGAATGAGAATTTATGCTACGAAATATTCCAAGGATATCATGTATGGAGATACAGATCTCAGGAGTCAGGAGTCACACATTCTACCATGTGTGGAATCAAACCCATGTGTTCTGTGACAAGTGACCTACACCATGAGGCTAACCCAACACTACCTAACAGAAGAACAACACAAGTGTCACTGCTTTTCATGTTTTTGTTTTACATACTTTTTAAATTAGGATAAAAATATTTCTTTCATCTTAATTGTTGCAAATAAGAAAATGGAAAATTATTACTTTTAACATTTGCAGAATCATCTAAAACAAGTATTTCTTTTAACTTTTTTTTCTTTTGTTGCAAATTTCTATGTAAGAAACAGGAGTGTTCCAAAGAGCATCTTCACCTCATACTAACTTGGTATTCCACACTTTCTTTGACACTGACCTCTAAACAACCCTGAACATATCTATAGTCTATAATTCAACATTCTGTCCCAAACAATCTTGAACATATCTATAGTCTATACTTCAACGTTCTGTCCCAAAAAACCCTGAACATATCTTTAGTCTATACTTCAACGTTCTGTCCCAAACAATCTTGAACATATCTATAGTCTATACTTCAACGTTCTGTCCCAAACAATCTTGAACATATCTATAGTCTATACTTCAACGTTCTGTCCCAAACAATCTTGAACATATCTTTAGTCTATAATTCAACGTTCTGTCCCAAACAATCTTGAACATATCTATAGTCTATAATTCAACGTTCTGTCCCAAACAATCTTGAACATATCTTTAGTCTATAATTCAACGTTCTGTCCCAAACAATCTTGAACATATCTATAGTCTATAGTTCAACGTTCTGTCCCAAACAATCTTGAACATATCTATAGTCTATAATTCAACGTTCTGTCCCAAACAATCTTGAACATATCTATAGTCTATAATTCAACGTTCTGTCCCAAACAATCTTGAACATATCTTTAGTCTATACTTCAACGTTCTGTCCCAAACAATCTTGAACATATCTATAGTCTATAATTCAACGTTCTGTCCCAAACAATCTTGAACATATCTATAGTCTATACTTCAACGTTCTGTCCCAAACAATCTTGAACATATCTTTAGTCTATAATTCAACGTTCTGTCCCAAACAACCCTGAACATATCTTTAGTCTATAATTCAACGTTCTGTCCCAAACAATCTTGAACATATCTATAGTCTATAATTCAACATTCTGTCCCAAACAATCTTGAACAAAAAGGACAAGTTAAGTCTGGCCTTGTCAACATTCTGTTACATCCGACCTCCCCCCCACCCCCAACACACACCCTACCCTGACACCATCCCCATCCCACTCTCATCCTGCATCTTCTCAAATTGGCCAGAGAAATCAGAAAAATAAGAAATAGACTGATATTGCGTCAACTGATATATCTTTCGATGATTGTTTGCAGGTGAATCAGTGAACTTGGTGTTTTTTGTAGGGAACTACAAATCCTCGGCTGTACCTCCAGTGTCAACCTCATGAACAGTTAACAAACGAGAAAGGACAAAAACACAGATTTAGACAATACGACATGATTAGGATAAACTGTATGTCAAGTAAATAGTTAGCTTTCAAGTGAAGTTAGATACAATAGATAACTAGTTCCATTCAATATTTGATGAAAGAAATGAAGAGACTGGAATAGAAAAAGGTTGCATTTACGAAATTAAACAACGAATATTGGAGTAACAACAGTCATATAAGTACAGTAACATGTCTTTAACAAATATGATTTTTATATTTAATCTGCAGAATTTCTACATAGCTAAAAGGCTGACTGCACCAAAGCAAGCTCTCTGCTAGCAGCAACCACTTCAACCCTGAATAAATCACATCGCCAAGCACAGGAATCATGTTTAGAATTTCTTGTAAACAACAGAAACTCAAGTTCACATGTGACACATTACATTTACATCTGATTAAAATAGTAATACACACATCTACGAATGATTTAAACATTACATAACCTATAAATCAAAATCCTAGAGCAAGAGATAAAATATGAATTCTATCAATAAACCCACACCCAAATGTTAAAGGTACGTCATTGTCTTACCTGTCATCCTTATCTGCTGTGCTACCGTAGGGTTTGCCCTCCGATGTTGACTCAAGTTCGTCCATTATTGGAGACAAGCTTCCGCCATCGAAGATCCCACTTCGGTCGACCCCCCGCGGACGCTCTAGCTCAAGGTGTCGCCCAACTGGTACCAGCTCTTTACCCGTAACAGAAGGGTCAAGGTCATATGTCTTCTCCGAAACTGTGGCTTGACTCTGTTTTGTATAAGGGGTAGATTCGCCTTCTTGGGAATCCTTGTCACTGTTCGAGTTCACTTGGATTTCATTCAATTTTCCATCTGACAGTTAAGAAAAATCAATTTATAGAAGAATATACACCATTGGTGTAACCATGGTAACACACTTTTAATTCATATGCCGAAACTGACAGATAAACAATCAGTACCACTTTAAAAACTGCAGACTATAGCATACTGTTTGGTAGTAAATTATTTATCCATTTGTACAAAATATGAGGGTAATGTAACGTAGGACAAGATGCGAAAACACCAGTTACTGCAGACCTTATAAATCTTGTGCGTATGTGTAACTAATAATGGATTGAGAACAATGAAGAACTTCTCAACACAAACCAGTCTTCATGCCGTAACATTATTAACATTCCGACATTAAATATTTATACTAGACAAGGGGGCTGATTTCAACAAAAAGAATTTCAACAGAAGTGAGGAATGCTATTCATGCCAGTGTCAGCAATATTACACTACATCAGCATGACCAGAAACCAGGGAATCAAACTGATGGTCGACAGCATGAGCAACGACCCATACAATGGGGCACAATGACACTCCATAGACAAAGTCGCACTGCAAGCACCAAATACTCAGTTAAATGTAATACAACAATCCAATCAAGGCTCCCTGTGATGATCTGGGTTGGAGTTGGTCTTCAGCAACCATACTTGTCGTAAGAAGTGACTAAGTGACTCACTGACTAGGTTGATGCATGTCGTTGTGTTCTAATTGCATAGATTGTTGCTAATGATGTCTGAAACAGGATTGTCCAGCCCAGATTTGATTATTTGACTGCCGTCATATTGCGTTTTTTAATACAGTCAACCCTCTTTGTGTCAAACTTATGGGGACCTGGAAAAAAGTTTGAGTTATCCTGAGTTCGAGACAACCAACAAATGAATTTTCAAAATCCAAATTATTATTAGGTCTGTAGGCAACAATAGATTTCAAGGCTAACGTAAATTTCAGTGCAAGGGTGCAGGTTGTGAGAGGGGCGGCAACTCAGGTGAATCAGTGACATCCCTGTGCCATCTGTAGTGAAAGTCAGATACTGAATAATAGATTCACTGACATAATCTTAATCCGTTTTACTCATTTCCCAATTTTCACTTGTCATCAGCAGTCACATGAGAACACTTCTGTAACTTGCTGCCGATGTGTATATAGAGAATCTCACCCGAGTGTCTTTTGATATCAAATATATCAACACGAGTTGATAAAAGTGGAAAAATTCCGAGGCTTGCCGAGGATTTTTGCCACTGTTATCAATGAGTGTTGATATATTTGATATTCAAAAGACACGAGGGTGAGATTTTATTTATCATCCAACATCATTCTTTCAACTTGTTCAATTTGTAGACAGTAATTATCAGTGCTCAGTGTAAAAAGTACTGAAAACAGCTTCAGTAGCAGAGCCATTAGTGATGTCATTTGATTGTGACGTCATGGTAACCAGTGACGTCACAATGGTCTGCAAAGCATTGTGATATAATTTCATTGCAGCGATATCTACAATGCAGATATCGCTTGATCTCATCCAAGCGATATTTCCTGTGGGAGCCAGTTTTGGATGATAAACAGTAGTCAGCTTGTACCATTGCAAGATGTGCTGCTTAATAAGGGTTGATTCAACTTGATTGGATGTTGGCATCCTACCTTTGTGGTATTGTGTCAATTGCTGTGAGGTCAGTCAGTTGTGTGAGAAATGAGTTGCAAGTTTGACGAGTGTGGGTGTGGGTGTTATTTATTTTGAGCTGTTCGAGTCAGGGGAACTTTAAGCTTAATTTGGATACTTCAGACTCCCAAATGAGTTCACGACAACTGGGAATTTGACACATCCAGTTTGTCAGATATGAGTAGAAATGATGATGGACAATGCAGGGGTGGGGGGACTCCAGGGTTAGATCTTGCCGTTCATGCCATCCGGCTGGATAGCTTCAGATCAAAAATCCATTTTAGTTCAATGGATCGGCATCTAGCCGTACTCTGGTCTGACTCAGGGTGCGTTTTTAGCTGTTGTATGATTTGATAGTGTAGGTCTCTGGTTGAGTGTCCCACAGAATTAAAGTGTTTGGCAAAGGGTTTGTCCCTTTGGTGGTTGATATCGGCAAAGTGTTCTTTGAGTTGAATACAGAAGTGTCGTTTCATTTTTTCTACGTCTGATGAGAGCCCCCAAGCTCGAAACTAGTCACCAATACTTGAGATTACTTTTTGGTTCTTAGCCCAAACCCTCTCCTTATGTATAAATGATGGAAGGACTTCGTAGGGACCAGTATGCGAGTTCGAGACAAACAGGAATTTGACACATCCAAATTCAACACAACGAGGTTCGACTGTACATGATTCATGATTCCCCTAGATAATTGTACAATAAACTGCGGTTATAACATGTATAACGAACTAAAAGGGACCATTAATTTTCATTTGTTATAACCGTAGTTCATTGTAGGAACATACAGCTTATATACAGCAAATGGTCGCGACCCCAAAACTGTTTGTTATATCCGTCAGTTCGGTATAAGCATGTTTGTTATAAACATAGTTTACTGTATAAATTTATTTGTTACATTGGGTGTCTCCATGGTGACCACTCTACCTCGGAAAACAAAATACAAAGTTAATCTCGGCTTACAATGCTCACAACAGATGGGGATTTCCTTGTTTGAATTGAATCTTATTGAATCTAATATCACAACAGAAATATCAGATAAATATCATGCACAATCATACTGCTTCACTATAATCAGCACCAATCATTCTAACATTCAGACACTTAGCGTAAACTGGACTTGGGATAAATATTATTTGCATCCATTCCTAATTTGTATGTGTGGACACAGTAAACCGCTGCTGCCTCATTGTATTTATATATATCACAGTACATTTTGATGTTTGTTTTGGCTGTTACTTACACCAACCTCATCAGTATTCCAGTCATATTCAAAGCCTGTATATGATTGAGTCTGAATGATTGATATCATAAGCAACAGTCCACAACATTGGGGTCAATGACACACAATCAACCTGGCTACTGAGCCTTAATAATCAAATTGCCTTATAGGGACAGCATTGTTTACTGGGGACGAATTCTAACCCGGAGCCAATAGTTTTATCTGAGTAAATAAGATAGCTATGCTATAAACCGCAAAGAACAATGAAGAACAAAGCATGGATTGTTCATGATAAAACATTGTTCTCTCATGACGTCATTTCTGGAGATTCAACATGCGCTCGTGTCGTAAATTGGACGACTTTATTTTTTAGAAGGAAGTGTTGAGTGAGTTGTTCCCCATAGATATAGATGGGCCAAGTAAATATACACTATGGCAAACCGATCGCATCCAACAGTAGGCAAGATACGACATTTGGTATTGGGTGAAAAGATAATCAACGTGAAATTTGCAAGAATACACTACTTAACCCAACTGTACATAAAATGGACTTGTCCGACATTGTCGAGGTCAGATTGTATTCAGGGAGTTATTATTTTTATACATGTAAATGATTTTAAAGCTTGTACATTTTATTGACATCCTTGAAATGGCTGTACAAAATGTTGATATCTCATAAGAAATAAACGCTGAGTGGGGGTTGTTTATTGTACAATAAAATACTGCAGGGAGAATAAACCATGGGGGCGCACACTCGTCCACAGTGATTCTTACCCAGCTTGAACCTGATGGTGTTCTGGCTGCTAGGCGACATGTTCCGCACCGCGTCCAACAGCGTGTTCAGCTGCATGTCCGTCAACGTGATGGAGTTGGGGTTCCGCCGTCTGGGCGTGCAACGGTTGATGACATTGTTCGCAAATGGCTTCTCGTTGTGATCAATGCAATCGCTGTGGTATTTACTTCGGATATTCGTAATGTTTTTCTTCACAAAGTTGGTTCTTGGTTGGTGTGTGTGGGAATGCTTATGAGACGTATTGTAACGACATTCGTCACAGTGTTCCTCAAAATGCAATCGCCTCGGCGGAAATCTTTGATTTCTGCTTTTATAGTCAAACTGGAAATAAATATACCATCAATGCACTTTATGACCAAAATGTTATCAAAAACATGGCTGACAGAATCTGTAAGGCAATGAAGACATAAAAACAGATGACATGTTTTGTACAACAGCTCAATACTTTCACTTCATACACTATAAACTAGCGCCAGTATTATTCTGATAAGGCAACATGAAAAATGATTTACTGTAAAATCATGAAATTAATGTGAACAAGAGCAAAAGTGGCCCACTAATACCCCCGACCCACCTAGTGTGTCAGTAGTTTCAAATTAAATAGCTAGGATAGGGTTAGGGTTTGAAAAATTAATATAAAATGGAAAATTAATAAAAACAATTTTTCTCTTTTGACTGCACCCCTCCATATGACACAGATTATATGTACTAAGTTTGAGATGAATCCACTGAATAGTTTAAGAGAAATCACACAGAGAAAGTTTGTTTTTTTAGGCCTGGGGTATAAAAATGAGAGTGTCCTTCTAAGAAAGTGACACATTTTGTTTCTGGACATTTTGGGGTAAACTGATATGTCAGGTTCACTGCACATGGGCAGAAACAATGGCATACATAACAAAGCTCATAGAAAACAGTGTGATTGTTCCCAGTGCTTCACACCAAGTTCCACGTCAAGTGGTGATCAAGCAGTTACGACAATTGCTTATCATGTATGATAGGGGTCTTTTTTCTTTGTAACCTTGTCAAATAATCTTGTATTTACAAGTAAAACACTGTTCACACATAGAGAATAGATCACCCAATACTATATCACCGAGTTGTATGGAAGATTAATTTTTATACTTCAAAGGACGAATGGAATTAATTTCATGACACATTTTAAGTCTGGTGTCAACTCTTGCATTACTTTATGGATTTACAGAATTGTATCCGATCACCTTTATCAAAAGAACATGGGCATGTTACAAGAAGAACGATAATTTATTTAATATTTTATTTTGATCTCTAAATGGCTCCAATGTAACTTCCCAATTGTACAGCACAAACACAATGACAAGTGGAGGGGACGAAACATATCATGAATGCCATTACTGGTGGTCATGACAGGTTACATCAAAAAGTGAGACTAGGGAATGGAAAATAACTATAAAAATATAGAACAGGAACCGAATTTAGTAAGCGAAAATACAAACTTTATAGGGTCAGTCAGTGAGAAACAAATACTGTTTTTTGTGGCCTTACACGAAATTCGGTAGTCAAAAGTCCACTGACTTACCTTTCTAGAGTTCTTTTTGTCCTTCGCTGCAATAAAAACAATGTCCCCATTATAATGATGCTACGTAACATAAGTACAGTATGTGATGCTGGGTGTCATGTGAATCCACAGGAACTCGTTATTGGTCAGTAAATAAAAATATATACCCCCTATATGTTAGTAGAGAAAAGGAGCATCACTCGCCATCTTGCCGGTTTGTTTACATTCGATATCCAAGGCGATTTTTTTATTATACGCTTATTGACAAGCGCATTTCTGGCCGTAGATTGATCGATAACCCATTTCTACACATGTACAAGTCATCTTCATTCGATTAATGTCCCTTACTTACCGAAATATCTACATTTTATTTCGCGAGCTGGGAAAATGTTGCCAACCCCGAGCGGAAGTAGAGTTCGAACGCGGGCAGAATCGAGCGAGCCACCTGATTGGCGGAAAATACGCAGCGCTCTAATTAAAGAAATTACCGCGAAATTTGAAGACGGTTATCTGGAGTGACAGCAGCATCTAAAAAATGACATCAGATAATTTCTTCAAATGGTAAATATTTATTTTGAATATGTTTTTCATTTTATAATATACATGTAATCTAAAGCTAATCTATTATTAGCTGGTGAATTTTATACAATACATCACTATATTAATATAATAGGCACATTTTCATGTATATTGCCTGTGCCTGATCACATTATGAATACTGGTCATGCTGATTGAAAATGAATAAAGTGAACATTTCAAGTTAATAATGATCATTAATGCAAAAGTAATAAATCTATTTGCGAATGATAAGTAAATTACAACATTACATGATAATGCGAATATCACAATGTGCCAATTTCTGAATATGAAATTCTGAATTTTTACCAATGGCAGCTATATCATGTATATGGTGATGTTACAATAATTCAATTTTCAGTTATGTAAAGTTCTTGAAACATTCTTACAGGTTACATGAAAAGTATGTTGAAGATAGCAAAAGTACTATACAAGTTGAAGAGATTTTCCAGAAATTTTATGACAACTTTGGTCACAGATCAAAAGTGTTTGTCGGAAAATGTATAAAACATGCTTTTCCCAATATCACCACAACCAGGCACCGATAACCTGGTGATTGGACTAAAAACATCACAGTTTACCGTGGCATCAATGTGAGATCTGAACAGACACAAAACATTGAATTTGCTGCAATATCTGATAACATTCCAAAAGACTATTTTGTACTGCAGCAAACTAAAGACTCTTTAACTGTTGGAAGGCAGACAGGATTATCCTGTAATGGGAACATGGTATATTTACAAGTGAGATTTTCTACTGATGGGCATGTACATCTTTCCGTCAGTGGTACAGTCATAAATGACACTTTTGGGATTCAGTCTATACATTACGACTCAAAATCCCTTAACTCATTCTTTTCAACACTGAATATGACAAGATACTGTCAGGGTATATCTTCTGACAGAATATCAGATGAAAAAGAAAATATTGTTCTTCAGCAAAATTTTGAGAAGGAGCCCATTGCGTACTCTTGTGACAGGTTTCTCAACAGCATTACTAGACAATTCAGTTTCAGAGAAAGCACTCTCTTTGCAAGGAGTTTTCCAATTTTTTCCTTTCTCCAGAGTCATTTGCTTGATAGCATGTGCTTTCTCCAGGCATTTTTGCCAACTCTGAAGCATTGTGACAGTCGACTTCAAAGTTCCAAGCATACAGGAAAACAGGAGCAGCACCCTCTGGTAATGGTCGAGACACTGAATACATCAATGTGTCAGTCTCCACACTGGGGCACCCATGCTCTAGTTCATTAATGGCTTTAACAAGCTTCACATTTGTTTGACGCATAACATTGGTCAGTCTAACCTTGTGTGTTATTGTTTCAAACCATACATCACTTGTGAATGGATGTTGCCCAGGATCTTGGTACAAGTCATTGGCATATGGAGGAATTAGAAAGAAATCCCCAACACACACAAACTGCAATCCTCCAAAATTCAAATTTGGGTCTCTGATACTCCTGCATATGAATTCAAGCTGAAATTAAACAGTATAAATTGTGTACATAGAGCATATGTTAACAAGAAAATAATAGAAACCCTGGGAATAGGCATGTATTAAATATTAAAAAAGAATGTAACTCTTTGGGCATGGGTCTTGACGAGATAAGTAAAAATAAGTAACAGTATTTAAAGTGTAATGACACACTTGAAAAAACCATTGTCTTAGCTTCTATAATAAGTATATTAATACTGTGACTTGCCATATTCATAAGAATAATTCCTACAGTTTAACATGTTAAAAAATACCTTTGTTATGGTATGTTCAGGATTATATGTCTAGTTTTTAATTCTATTAATATTATGATTTGTGCTGGAACTGTGAAGATGTTTGACTTTGAAGTATATACATATAATACATGTCATATTTACCTGTTCAAATATTTTTCTACTGATCATGCTTATCTCATCAATGATCAGCACATCAGTCTCCTTAATCCTCCTGTAGACATTCTTCTTTTCATCACTAAGAAGTATCTTATATAAGTCAGGATTTCTGGGTCTTCCATCACTCAGTCCAGCCCAATCATGAAGAGTTCTCCCCTTAAGCTGTTTAGAAGCCATACCAGTGCTAGCAGTAACAGACACAAGTTTTCCATTTCTCCTCAATCTCTCCGTAATTTCCTTGATGAGAACCGTTTTTGCTGTGCCAGCCTGGCCAATGGTTAGGGTGTTGTGTCCATCTTTGATTAAATTCCATGCAAACACTTGTTCTCCAGTCAAAGCTATCATTTTGAACCCACGTTGGTTGCACATGTGTTGTTGTTTTCACGCTGACTTGACATAAGTAGGTCAGCCAATCAGGTGGCTCGCTCGATTCTGCCCGCGTTCGAACTCTACTTCCGCTCGGGGTTGGCAACAATTTCCTAGCTCGCGAAATAAAATGTCGATATTTCAGTAAGTAAGGGACATTAATCGAATGAAGATGACTTGTACATGTGTAGAAATGGGTTACGGCCAGAAATGCACTTGTCAATAAGCGTATAATAAAAACATCGCCTTTGATATCGAATGTAAACAAACCGGCAAGATGGCGAGTGACGCTCCTTTTCTCTACTAACATATAGGGGGTATATATTTTTATTTACTGACCAATAACGAGTTCCTGTGTGTGAATCATCTCAACATCACAAAGTTGATGACGGCAAACCACATATGGTCCATGGTTTGTCTCACCCAGATTATATTCCTGATGTACAATACTAAACAGGTTAAGGGCCATCCGATTCTTTCAAATTACTAATCTATCATATAGTAAATCTGTCATGCCATATTACTCACTCACTCCCTCGCTCACTAAACTCACTAACTCTACAGAGCAACATTTTGAGTCACACCAATCTTTCTCAATGTTTTTTATTTGTTTTTTTCATGCACTGGATACAGAAAGCTGTTCTTGAAACATATTAAAATATCAAACTGATAAGAATGTTAATAAAATGTAAAAACTA